AAATCTTTGTAACAAATTGTAAACATGTTTAGTGGCTCTAGAATCTATCCATCAGGAATTAATAGATACAACCACATAACATGACTCAATGATTAAATATACATTGTCCTATGCCACGTCATTGCTTAAACAGTTCGTCCTTAAGTGTATTAGTTGGCCGCAAAAGAAACAATTTCCTTCGCCCTCAACTTACACTGTCTTATTTCCTTTAACCTTTTGGATCCCCATGTTTTGTGATATCCTAGTCCTATTGTCATCCTTCTTCTTTTCCTTTGCCCTTCCACTTGGGCCGAGAAGAATGTGGTATAAACTAGGTTAGATTAATATGAACGCCTATACTATTTAATTATCCCTTCATATGTTACCAACTCTATAAGAATATCAGCGAGTATGAACTTAAACTGGATCCAGTTCAAGTCTTAGTTAATAATGAGTCCATCCATAATTACTAACTATGAAAAATTTATGATTACTATTTATATTCATGTATTGATCGCCATCACATACATATATAAATATTTCTTGTAATCAAGTGAACACTCTTAATTTCATAATGAATCGAAACATAATGCATTGAATTCAACAAATATATAAATCATAAATATTTCAAATATGTCAGGAACATATGTAATTATAATCCACATAGGAATTTGTTATGTCAGGGCATATAAATCCCAACATTTATAACATTGATAAACAAATTTCAAGGTCCGTGGCATGCATAATTGCATATCATAATTTACTTTTTGTTTTTGATGAGAAAATTGGCCGCAACTTCCATAATTTTTACTAATGGCTAGATACTAACAATTGAAGCATCCTTTTCCATGACTTCATACTCAATTGTGGATTTGGTTATGCACCAAACCTCACTTTTCTATATGATTTGACGATGATTTTGAAGATTTAACTTAGAGCAATGATTTCAAGAGGTTAGGAGAAACTGGTAACCCAACAAATTATTCTTATTTCATGATTTATACAAAATTTCAAATAAATAATAATAATAATAATCAAACACGATTCTAATCATGGACATATATATATATATATATATATATATATATATATATATATATATATGGACAAAGTACAGAAAACCCCCCTTGACTTGTAGTCTTTTTCAGTAAACCCTCCTCGTCTAATTTTTTTACCAAAAAACCCCCCTCAACTTGTAACCCTTTCCAATAAATCCCCCCTATCTAATTTCTTACCAAAGAATCCCCCTCAATTATCTAAGGGGGTAAAAGAGTTAATATTTGGACCAAAATGCCCTTTTATTTAAATCTTAATTTTTTCGAGTTTCAAAAATTCATATATCACAAACTTTACATCTAAATATTACTAATAATATATGCAAGAAAATTTATAAAATAAGGATTCCAAAAATATAAGATTTGTTTAACAAAACTTTATAACCAGAGAGAAATAGATAATCTAAAAATTTACTGCAATAAGCTTATTTTATTTTATTTCATATAAAATAGTTGGGTTATTTGTAAGAAATTTTTCAGAATTATTCATTTTCATATGGAGCATGACATATAAAAAAATTATCCCCAATAGAGACTGAATATTTTTTTAAAATGGCGAGTTTATAAAATAATGAAAATACTTTGACGCAAAATTTGATATCTCATGAAATTGATCTCTGTTGGGGCTAATTTTTTTTATACATTCGGCTCCATATGTAAATGAATAATTCTGAAAATTTTCTTGCAAATATCTCGAGTATTTTATTTTTAAAAAATAAAATAAGATTGTTGGAGTAGATTTTTATATTGCTTATTTCTCTCTGGTTATGAAGGTTTGTGATACAAATCTTATATTTCTAGAATCCTTATTTCATAAGCTTTCTGTGCATATTTATTTTTAATTTTTAAATGTACGGTTTGTGAAATATGAATTTTTGAAGTTCGGGAGAATTAATATTTAAATAAAAAGGTATTTTGGTCCAAATATCAACTATTTTACCCCCTTCAGATAATTGAGGGTGGTTCTTTGGTAAAAAATTAGAAGAAGGGGATTTATTGAAAAAATGCTACAAGTTGATGGGGGTTCTTTGGTAAAAAAATAGACAAAGGGGGTTTACTGGAAAAAGTTACAAGTCGAGGATTTTTTTTTAATTTTTATTTATATATATATATATATACTTAGTGGGAGAATGAATTTTTTTAAAGATATTTTAACCACTTAAAATGATGGTAGAAATGCCATTTTACATGTTAAAAGTAATATGATAAAATAAAACGTAGCATTTGGAGGTGTGAGTGAAATTCAGATTAAATGGTAAAAATGTCATTTTACATGTTATGATATGATACAATAAGAAGTAACAGTTGAAGGTGTGAGTGAAATTCAGATTAAATATTTATAATTTGATTGAAAATTAAAAACAAAATGTGTTTCTGTCTCAAATTTAAGTTAACCTTAAGGGGTATTAGTGTAATTTATTCTTTTTTAGCTTCTTGGAAAAGTGATGGTGTTAAAGTTGTTGGGTATTAAGCACATGTATAAATACAACTTTATATATGGGGATTTATGGTATAGAGGAGATGGTTTGTAACTTCGCATGCATGAGGACAAGGTGGGCAATACCAACATTTTTGGCTAGTTGTTGTGAAAGATTTTGAATAGAGTGAAGCATATATATAAGGCATGCGGTTTTTAACCAATAAGCTATTAAAATAAGAACAAGTTAGATATATCCTACTATTGTACTCTTACCTATGACTGGTGTTTCTTTGACACTACGTACACTACCCTATTCTATTGTATAACATTTACTTCTATCCCCTCTCATATGCGGTGGAGCCGGTGTACGCCAGGGCACGAGCCCTCACTTACTATAATACTTATATTAAATTTATATATTTTTATTTGTGTATATGAAAATTTTATATAATACCCATCTAAAACTTTTATTTTTTAAAATTATTTTTTAAATTTTGTATTTCTTCTCCTTTTTATTCTTTAAATTCATTTAATTTTCTTTAGAAAAAGTCAAAATTTTATTTTTGAATCAAACTCCATTTTTTTTTCCTTTCAAAATTCTCTTATTTTTATTTCTTTTTAAATTTTTTATTAACTATTTATCTTTCTTAAATTACTAATTGATTGACATATTATTTTGAGTAATTTTTCTTTTTTATCTCTTGGTTTATAGAATCTATATTTATTATTGTGATTATTAAATTATTTATTTATTTATTTTACGCTATGCCCCCTAAATTTAATTCTGAATCTGCCCCTGGTCATATGTAGCTTACTTTTGTAGTACTTACCAACTGCAAAACCTTGCCTATAAATAAAATCCTTATATATTGTTCATAAGTTAATAATAATTATATAAACAATTCTTCATCCCTTCTAACATGATATTAGAGTCTAGGTTTGTTCCTGGGACTTATTGGTTGTTCAATTCAATACAATAGGTAATTTTTCATCTTGTCTAACATGATATCAAAACTCGTCAACCGCTAGTAATAGTATTCTGGATCCATCCTCGTCATCGGGATGGCACCATTAGCCCCATCCTCGACTAGAGGCTGAGCCAGGATTTTTGTTCGGGGGAAGGAAAAAAAAAAACAGAAAAAAGAAGAAGAAAATTTTAAAGAAATAGAAGGGGAAAAAAGGGAAAAAATTCAAAGAATTTAGTAGGAAAAAATTAGAGTTTATTTTAAGAAGAAAAAATTAACCTTTTTTTTTAAAGGAATTTAAAGAGAAAATTACTGAAAATTAATAGATAATTTTAGAAGCTAGTAATTTTAGAAACTAGTAACCTAACTAAATGTGTGAACTAGGATTGAATTAAATTTTCTTATGAATTGTTAGCAATGGATATAATTTGAGTTGCTGCAAGATACTTTGAAGTATCATAAGTACTTCATCATATGTTGATGATTAATTATCGTTATTTCAAATATGTGACCTTTGTATATAATTATATGCATTGTAGCATGAAATATTATAGATGTACATACATATATTACATATATACTGGTGCTAATCCCTTGTGTTGCTTAGCTGGTCAATCTGTGCATCAGATGGTCTAGAACATATATAACATAAGAAGCAAGGCTATACCTATACTGTGAAGTTTCTAATTTTCTCCATTTTCATTTTTTCGGAATTTTGTTGATGCGAGAGTATTTTTGTCTTTTCACGTTGTGCGAACCGAACACTGCGGAGTGTGCCGGTTGTGTCCGAGAGTTGTTTGGAGCATTTCATTGAGTTCAGGACTCTTTGAAATGCAAGGGTGATCATTTTTGTATTTTTCATTTTTTTGGACCAGGCGATCTCGTGTGGGACCCGCTATCGAAATTGTTGCATACGGAGATTTTAGTTGGGTCCATTTACATTTCATGCATTTTATTTAGGGAAAATTACATATAAATGGAGTCAAAGTTTCATATTTACTTAGAGACTGAGTCAAAGTTCCATATTTCTCTAAAATGGATTGCTGAGGTGGCACATGGTTTTTTACTGTTTAAAAAATTGTGGTGCCTAAAATGCCCTTCCCTAATAAAAAAGTAGTACCTTCAGTTCAAAAAAGTAGTACCTTCAGTTCAAAAAAGTAGTACCTTCGGAGAAAAAGTAGTACCTTCACGAGTGTTTAAAAACATGGTACCTAGACGCCAAAAAGTAATACCTTCAGTTCAAAAAAGTAGTACCTTCGAAGAAAAAGTAGTACCTTCGCGGAAGAGTATTTTAGGCATCACAATTTCTAAATAGTAAAAAACCATGTGCCACCTCAGCAATCCATTTTAGAGAAATATGGAACTTAGACTTAGCCTTTAAGTAAATATGGAACTTTAACTCCATTTATATGTAATTTTTCCTTTTATTTAATGTGCCTTATGTGAATTTTAGATAGTTATGTATATGTAAGTGTGTGGTGTAAATTAAAAACAACATAAAAAGGAAAAATAAAAAGAAAATGGGTGGGACCCACAAATATTTTAAGTGGTCACGAGACCGCATTTTCTCTGTGTTCTCTCATCCTCTCTCCCGCTGCTCTATCTTCCTCTCTGCTTTCTATTTTTTCTTTTTCTGTTTTTTTCACTTCAAAGCTTCCATTCTTGATTCCTTTCTCAATTTTTGGTATTTTTAAGTGCCGTTTGCGGCAAATTAAAGCTCACGGCGAGACTTACAAGTTGATAGGAGCAATTCCTTGGTTGGTGCACCATAGGAAATTCGAAATCCTAGGGTTTGAGGTGAAAAAAATTGAGAATTTTGCATAAAATTGAGATAGGGGTCTCTAATTTGCATTTTCTTGTTCATTTTTTAGTCAATTCTTGTTATTTGATGCCAACATGCTTAATTAAAATTAATTACCTCTAGAATGATTTTCTTGTGGGTGTAAAGTTCATGATTATATGTGTAATTTTTGATTTGTATAAAAGCATGCTTCATTATTAATTTCCTTATGTTATTATGTTGACAAAATTGCTAGAAATGATACATGGAAGCTTATGGAAATTTTCTTAGAATTATTGTAATTTTTTTATGTTATTGTGTTGACAAAATTGCTAAAAATGATACATGGGAACTCATGGAAATTTTCTTAGAATTATTGTAAAGCTTGTTTAATTATGAAAGTATTATGGAAATTTCTTATTGCCCTAGCATTGAATACATGAGACATACATGCATATCATAGGGCATGAATGATGGGAAATGATTTTGAATAAATAAAAAGGGGATTTTGGGGAGAAATTTGATAAAAAGGTTTTGAGGAAAACTCGGTCGTCGCGGAGTCACCAAAAAGCTGGTGTACATGTTAATATAGCCTAGAGGGAATTAGGGAGATTGCCCTATCATAGTTGATCTATCTGGGCCCCAAATGACGCTGCAGAGGTACCAAAGGTCAGGGAGAGTGGTCAATCCTTCTCTCATGTCATTGCGGAGTCACAAAAGGGCGAGTTATATTAACAGTTTGTGAAATGATGGATGTTTTCTGAAAATGGAGAGTGACATGCATAACATTGCATTCATGGCATGAGATTTATTTGTCTTGAACTAGGAATTGCTATTGTGTTTTCCTGGCTTTGCATGACCCCAATTCCTATTGTCCTATTCTCTGATTGGATTTACGGGGTTTCAAGAGGTGCGTCTGAGGCACTACCTACTGAACTTTACGCTTACCCCATTATTTAACATTTTTCAAGGCCGGGAAAGAAAATAGTGGATGTTGATCCCTCTCTAGCATGAAGAGAACTAAAGATCTATTTTGATATCTTTTGTGTTTTGGTTAATTTTTGCATAGTCTCAAATTATGAAAAAAAGTATTAATATTATTTTATCATGGCCATGTACCATAACTAAGGTACTTGACTATTTTTGGATGTAAATTGAGATTATGTAAATGATTAAGTTGAATGGAATGACAATGATGGGCCAACTTGAGCAGGTTGTTGATGTGGTAGTATCGGGGAAGGTATTATATATATATTTTTGTATTATGTGTTGGGACAGGTTGGAGAAGTCTTGAAAGGTCAAGAAAGGCCATTGCATTTTTTTTTAATTAAGCAGGTTGTTATATCCCCTGTTTGATAGAGGTCATGTCGGAATTTTTTGTTTTATAAATGGTATCAATTTAGGGTCATTACATATACAGCACCAACAAAATAACAAGATTGACAGAATTTCAGACAATCTCCGTTTAATTGGCAAAACTTAATTAATTTTCTTTCAAGCAATAAATCCTACTATTTGTCAAAAGTAAATTCGTCTATCTCCATCTAACCAAATTATGTTAATATTGATTATGCAGTAGAAAGCAATCTTGTGGTCTTGTCATAAAATCTCCCTTGATTATTTGGTTTGGTGTACAGAGATTAAATTAAATGAAAGTCTAGGAGAAAATCAAATTGGATGGAAATCTTAAGAAAGAGGCTGTTTAATAAAGAGGTAAATTTGTAATTTAACTGCATCCTCTATTCTTCTAGCAAGATTCCTTTTTGTTTAGAGCTAACCATTTGGACGGGTGTGCAGGCATTTCTTCACACTTTCGACTGCATTTCATCATGTGCACGATGACCTCACACTGATTTCTCCCCCTATAAAATACATTCCATGTCCAAAGGCAGGGCAAGTAAGCAGAGTTGCTCAAAAATCTGTTAATCACTTGCCTCCACATCCTGTTTCCATGGCTCCAGAACCCATTTCTCCTATCAAAACTGGTTACATCCACGATGTCCAAGAATTGGGGAAGGCCAAATCAGTGGCCATTCCTGAAAGATTCGTACGCGACATGGCTGAAAGGCCAACAGACGTCACTGTATCTTCTTCTAGCAGCATTCCGGTTATCGATGTCTCAAAGCTTCTCAAAGGCAGCAAAGATGAGTTCCATACTGAACTCTTGAAGCTCTCCACTTCCTGCAAGGACTGGGGTTTTTTTCAGGTATGTGTACATATTAAAAAAAAAGTCATTAATTTCATTATGTTACTTTCTGAACTATATGGGCTTGTAAGCTAATATTTAGTTTGACATGGTAGGTGATTAATCATGGGATTGATCTGGTTTTGCTTGAGAGCATGGAGAAGGTGGTCATGGAGTTCTTCATGCTACCTCTAGAGGAGAAACAGAAGTATCCAATGGTACCGGGAATTGTTCATGGATACGGTCAGGCTCTCGTGTTCTCAGAGGAACAGAAGCTAGACTGGTGCAACATGCTTGCACTTATTATTGAGCCTCACCACCTAAGGAATCCAAAACTGTGGCCAACAACACCAGTCCGGTTTAGGTAATGTTAGTCTTTCAAACATACAATATTTTAAATTTATTTTGTTATTTTATTTTGTTTGATTGGTTTCCCCTTGCAGTGACACTATAGAGGAATACTCAAGAGAGATGAAAAGACTCTGCCAAAACTTGCTCAAATTTATAGCTACAACCCTTGGCTTAAAACAGGACATATTTGGAGAGATGTTTGGGGAGACAATGCAAGCAGTGAGGATGAACTACTACCCACCATGTCCTAGACCTGACCTTGTTATAGGTCTAAGCCCCCATTCAGATGGAAGTGCCCTCACAGTGTTGCAGCAAACGGGTAGCACAGTAGGCCTTCAAATTCTCAAAGACAACAAATGGGTATCTGTTCAGCCAATCCCTAACGCGCTTGTAATCAACATTGGAGACACCATTGAAGTAAGTCAACCTCAAAATTTTCTCTACAACCTTTTGCATTACATTATGAATCTTACTGATTCTTTATCTAACAGGTTTTAACAAACGGGCTATACAAGAGTGTGGAACATAGAGCAGTGACTCACAATGAAAAAGACAGACTCTCAATTGTCACATTCTACGCTCCGAACCCTGAAGTTGAGCTTGGGCCAATGCCAGAATTGGTAGATCAAAACAATCCTTGCAAGTATAGAAGATACAACTATGGAGAGTATAGCCAGCACTATCTGGCTGACAAGCTGCAAGGCAAGAAAAGACTCGAGTATGCCATGATTCAAACATCATAAAAGGACCCCACTAGGTAGGGCTGACGCAAGGCTTGTTTGTTTTCAACGGCTGGGCCCACAATTTCTCAATCACTCTGATGTCAAGCAGAGTTGTTGCCGGCCGTTTCTGGAACTTGTATCCTTCTTTGTGTGGCTGTTGTTGCCTTATGGGATTTCTTACACTGGGTCCCATGGTGGTTTGCGTTGTTAGGTGGCTTTTGTGTGTTTGCTTCTATCTGTACTTTTGCTGGGGCTCGTCTTTGTATGTTTGTGATTGTGGGTTTTGTTGTTTTTGTTGTGGTGTTGTGGCTCGCTAATGGTTTGTTTTGGCTGTATTTGTGGTCATGTATCTTGTAGATATCGTATGACTTCTTGTCTTTAACCATGAAAAAAATAAAAAATAAAAGTTGTAGGCCTGGCTGCAATTCAGTTTGTACAAGTCTTTTTTATGAGTGGAAGTTTGGGGTGGTGTTTTGTGTTCATAAACTTTTGCTGTCAAATCTGTACTAAATATCAAATAGAAGATGTCACTGTGTTGTACTCTCTGACCAGAATTGACTCTATTGAACCATTGGTTCGGACCCAAACTTGGAAACGCTGATTGAACCACTGGCTACAAAGAACTAGGACTTGGGTTAGGCTCATATGGAGAGGGGGAGGGAGTTCAGAATTTTGGAAATTGAGTGATTTGCATTTGAAAATTGAGGGCCCTATTAATAGATCAATCAGAGGCTGTTCAGTCCAACTGTGAAAAATAGTCTTGAACAAAGTAAAAAAGCTTAGTGGACCCACCTTTATTTTAGCCAAAAGTCGGCTTCAAAACTTGTATTTTCTAGTTGTTCAAAACTGATATCTTACATTAAATGGAGACAATTTTCTTCTTTTCCACAAGAATCCTCAGCCCCAGCAGAACTTTCAAGTTGAATGTGAACTAATAAAAATAAAGCACATCATCTGTAGCCATTTCCCAGGATATTGATTAGACTCGTTATTTGAATGCAAAAGAGAATGACAATATAATATCAAATCATGTAATTTACATATTGAATGACCAAAAGAAGATGATAAAGAGATTTTTTAGGAATATCAATGGACCATTTGTGACTCATATTATAGCAGTAGAAAGCTGGTGTCAAGTATGACATGGTGGTAGCTCACTTCTATCAATATTATAGTACAACAAGAGAAAAAGTTGTAAATTTTGATATTTGTGTAGAAAGGATAACAAAACATGGAGGATCAAACCAATGTTTGAACTCACCACTTTAAACCATCAAAATTGAAGTACACTTGAAAAAGAAAAAAAAAAATGTCTCAATTCAAGCCTTCTGTGTAAGCACGCACTCAATTTTCTTTGTCTGGTTCACCAACGAGCATACGATTCTCTGGCAGCTTCTGCAATGCTGTTCTTGGCCTTGTTCCCTGCTCATCAGTTAACAAAACCACGATGTCAGGATGGATACAGCAATTTTAAAATCATAACCGAAAAGCTAAAAGCAAACTTTGGTCTCACCGTAGATGTATTCTTCTCTTCATAATTGTTGACTTCGTTCGTAATCTGTAGCTTCTCTTTCAGCATCTTTGTCAGCTGCCTCAGACTTGCATCATGCAGTGATTTCAATTGGTTGTCGTCCTCAGAAGCAGTGTTCTTGTTTTTCTTCCCCTTTTCCCTAGTAACATCCAATTTTCTGCCACTGTTGTCAATGTTCTCCTTGTTATCATCCAAAACATGGGTCATCATTCCACTTCTTGTTGGCGGCAATGATGGCAAGGAAGGAATGTCTGAGTCTGATCCTGCCTGACAAAAAGCTTGCGAAATCTGGCCTGGATGACTACTCCGCTTCACAGACGCTGCTGAGGTCTTGTCCAAAAACGAAGAGTCCTGTTCATTAGTTGTCGCATCAGATTCTTGTGCTGCAATTTCATAGACATCAACCTGTGCTTCATGACTCTTTTCTGCATCGGGTGTTGGATCCTCAGTGTGGCAGTAGGCCATGAGATTACTAAAATTTATGCTTCCTTGCCTGGCAAATTGATCAGTGGCATTTTCTTCAGAGGTCAACGGATGAGAATAACTATTCTGCTTTTCAGAAACTGGAGTAACAATCAGAGTTGAAGGGCGAGCATGGGTAGTCATGGCAGGTACTTCTGCTGTAGCTTCATCCACATCAGCCCCTACTTCAATTTGAGGGAGGGCTTGTTCCTTGGCATCTACCATTGCTTCCAGCCCGAGCATTGATTCCTTGGCTTGACAAGGACCATTAACAGTGTCGAAAATCATGCTTCCTTGATCAGAAAAATCAACTACAACCTGTACTCTAGATTCTTCAGCTGCAAACTTTTCAGCATTCAATTTATTTGCAACCATCATTTCACCAGAGAACACTTCACTGTCATTATTTGATTTCATAATGAATTGATCACTGCTGTTCCTGAATTCTTCCTGGTCAAGAATTTGAGGAGTTTCAGGTTCTTTGCAGCTCTCTGACCGCTTAGAACCAATCAAACATTCAGAAATATCCGAATGAGCAACTGCATCATCCCTGGAGACCTCGCCATTAGACGATTCTGGGTCAGTTTCTGCATCATCATCACTAAAGGCCTCCCCTTTAAACTGTTCTTCGGAAGCAAATCCGAAGTCAGCCAAGGAAGCAGCAGCATGGTCCACCACATCACCGCAAACATCATCCCTGGTGACCTTGCCATTAAATGACTCCTCTTCGTCTTGAGCTCCATGAAATTCTGGGTCAATTTCTGCATCATCTTCACTAAAAGCCTCCCCTTTAAACTGTTCTCCGGAAGCATATTCCAAGTCAAAATCCTGGTTCTGATCTTGATCAGCAGCAGAGGCACTGAAATTATTTACATCCAAATCTTCCATTGCTGGAACTTCACTCGCCAAATCCTGAACAGCATTGACTGAAGATTGAGGAGCAGCAAGATCCACCACATCACCACAAACAATGTCGGCAAAAACCTCAGTGGCTGAATCTTCGGATTCCATGTCTTTACTAGCATTCAGTTTTTCCTCGTTTTCTTTCAAAAGCTCAATATAATTCTCAGTGACAGATTGGAATCTATCAATTGTAGAATCATCAACCACTGCCATTAAAATAAATCGCTGTAATATTTAGATAAATTCAAAGAAACCCAAGGACTAATAGCAGAGCCAAACAGTGATATCGATATGAAAAGCATAAGGAGAAACAGATTACCCTTTTTTTCTTCTTCTTCATTTTTCATATCCAATGCCTCACCCAGAAGGATATCAGATTCAACAATAATACCACACCTCTTTGATCCCACTTCAGATTTTGACTCCGAGTTATCGTCTGCATGTTGATCAAGAAGAAATTGTGAATAAATAAATAAATAAGAACACCAAATATTTGTATTGGATTGAACAAAACAAAGCTCACCCTTGCTCTCATCAAGAACTCCATCTTCCACATCTCTGTCTTTCTCTATTATCAGCTTGTTGGGGTGTTCAGCTGAAACTGAAATAACCAGTTTTTTTTCAAATACCGCAGAAATCTCTTCGGGTATCGCATTTGAATCACCCACTAGATGGCTGTCTCCCGTACTCTTCTGATCATCACCATATCTTTCATTCTCAGCAAATGCATCCGATTTTTGACCTGAAAGAACTTCTGAATCGTTGGTTTCCTCAATAGTCTCTTCAGAAACCTTCTGCATATCAAGTCCTGCATGATGATCACTGTTAGTAAACATCCTAAACCCAAAATAGAGATAGAACTCTCTTTGTGTGTGTTTCTACTTATACATATACATATACATATATATTCATGAAGGATCAAGGACCTCTCCTTTATACATTTCGGTCAGTAAACTAACAACATTAAATCAAACATGCAACGACAATATAAAAGTGTTTCATTATTGATTTAATGGTGTTTAGGTGTTGTATTTAAATGTGTTGGATGAGTGTTTACATAGTTATTGCAAGGGTGTTGTGTTATTGACCTAGTGTTTGCATCATCAAATTAAATTGCATTGGATTGTCTAGCGACAATGATTCTAGTTAACACATTGTTCGATTGGACATTTACACAAACATATACCAGACATACCTGTATTGTGGGAAACTTCCTCATTTCTTTTGTTTTGCTTCTTATTAGGCTCTTCCATTTTCGTCTCAGACATCCTAACTGATCTCCTTGTGCTGTACACTCGCCGTACTGAGCTCCCCTTTTCCTTTCCCAAGTCCGTCTCTATCTTCAGACGAGCCGAGGCCAAAGTTCCCCGTCTCCGGCCAGTTGTGGCAGCTGGGGTTTCCGGCACATCCTTCTTATCATGAACCATTTGATCCCCAATTTTCTGATCTTCTTCACCTTCCTTCAACTGAGTCTCCACCTCCCGACGAGCTGAAGCCACCGGCACTCTCTTTCGAGTTCCTGGAGCCACAGCCGGGGTCTCAGACACATCAACCTTTGCTTCCTCCACCTCAGAAGCGAGTGTTCTTCGCGTTGCACGGCGAGTCGTCCTAGTGCAAATCTGTGAACTCTCTGGTTCTTCTTTGATCGCTTTTCGCCGAGTAGATGTTCTACCACCGGTACGAGAAACACCGGACGAGGCTATCGTCATCCTTTCTGGTGACTCGATAGAAGACTGTACAGTTTCAGACTCGGACGGTTTCAAGATCTCTTCGATTCCTTCGATCTAATATAGCATCAAAATACATAAAATTAAGACAAATAAAATTACAAAAGAAACAGAAATGATCGATCTGTGATGAATCTAATAAAAAGAAGAACAAAATCTTACAATCTCAAGAGCTTTGAGAGCGTCGACCATGGCGATGTTGGTAATATTTGCTGGGATTTTGTTCTTCTTGCATAGGGTTTGGAGTTCTTTCCTCGAAAGACTTTGGAAATCCATGGCTGAACAAATGATATTAATGTGTTTGATGGGTTATTGATTGAAAATGGAACTAAGGGTTGTTTATTTCAACAGACAGAAACAGATGTGATTAATTGGAAATGGAAGTGATTGCGATTGTACTAGTACAGAGAGAGGGAGAGAGAGAAAACAGTTGTTGTAGAGGAGGCGCGGCTGAGTGTGTGTGCTAGCTATATCATCTATATATACACAGGGAATGTATTTTAGGGTTTGGTTGGGGGAAAACAGTGAGATGATGAGGAAACCCTTCAAAATATGACCGTTGGAGCGGAAATTTGAAATTCGAATTTTGTTTATTAATTATTTGAATGAAAGACAGAGACAGTGACAGCGTCTTGAAAACTCACAGCGAATGAGAAATTGCCACGTGTAGTCGAAACAATGCTGTCCTTGGGCAGGCTGATGGCATCCCGAACCTAGCCCATATTTGATCGGACATCTCTTCAACCATGAAATATTGGTCTGGAAAAAGTATTAAGCTGAATTGGTGTATTTCGAATCAACCCAAATAAATCGGCCCACAAAGAAATGGTCATGGGCCAGAGGAGTGTGTCTTTTTTTTTTTTTTTTTTTTTCTTTTTTCATAAGCAAGAAACCCAAACCATCACCAAAAAGCCTGCAATATTTTAGAGGTACTTATCATATAGTAGAGTTGCTTTAATAGCCCAATGGATTAGTGACTCCCATGATCCTTGGAGTGTCAGGTCTCTCTGCATCTACTAATCTAGTATCTAATACTTCTTGTCTTGAAAAAAAAAAAAAACACTCATCATGTGGTGTTTCCTGAACAAACATATTTTTTATTAAAAAATTTCTCATTTCTCTTGTATCAAGACAAAATAAGAGTTTTTATGACTGTTCATTGGATGGGGGCACCAAGCCCCGTGAAAGTATTGTAAACTGTCTGGTAGAAGAAATAGAACCATATTACAATGCCTTGCTCTCTCTCTCTCTCTCTCTCTCTCTCTCATTCTAAAACCTTAAGTTTTTTATTTTTTATTGTTATATAATTTTTAAAATTAATATTGGCTGTTTGTAATTCTCTGTGAATTGGAATGGTCCAATTCACAGTGTCTAGAAAGATAGTATTTCAATGTAAATTTTTTTTTTACTAGATGGAAAACTTTAGGAGAATAGCATACATATATCAAAATGATGGTAAAAATTGAATTCTATGATTGCAGGTAGGCTAAAAAATGATCATATAGCTAAACAATGTTTAATCTCTATATTTCCTTTGTTGCTTCATTCTAGACACAAGATTCCTCTGTTCCAATGCTTTGTGAAAGATGAGAACAGTAATGAAAGCATACTTGCTCTAAGAAATGACCATTCTATTACAATATTGCAATGTTTTTTTTATTCCATAGGGCACATTTGGCCAAAATCACATTATTATTTAATACAGAGTAGAAAGGAGAGCAATTTAGAGGATTTAAAATTTATTTTTGATGCTTCATGGATACTAAAATTAAATTCTTATTTACTTGAGTCAATTCTTCGAGAATAAAATTGTGTTACGTGATGAAAGAATAAATTGATGTGATGCATTTTGAACCATAGGATCAAGTATCATGGAATATCGGAGAGAAAATAATGAAGAGGATGTAAATCCTATGCATTTTGTAGTAGAAGTCCTTAATTTCTTAATTGTATATTATACATACACGTGTTTATTGATATACATATGGTATGTGTTTGTGTGTATGTATAAATATTGGGCTTAGCCATTTCCCAAGACCCTAGCCTGTATTGATTGGGTTGGGTAGAGATGGATACGGCATCCAGCCCAATCAAGTTGGAGCTCCGGTTAAACACCTGGCAGTAGCCATACCGCGGCTAGCTAATGTGAGCAGGGGCGGGAATACGCACCACGCGTTACGTGTAGCAGACACAACTCGTGCGATTTCCTCTGCTTGTTAATCACTGAGTCAATACCGGCGATTTCAAACCTCAACACAAACACTGCAGCGAAGAAATTGGTAGAGATCTATACAAATTTATTGAGGGAGAGAGTCTAGAGAGAGAAAATATTGCTGGTTCTAATACAGAGAGCCGATCAATTTGTGGAATTGTTACAGAAACTCCAGAGATGAAATTTCCCTAATTTTGAATGGAAACCCTAACCCTAAACCCAATCAAACCCATCGGATCTTCCGAATGTGGCGGTTTTCGGATCATCTGGACATATCGCCACTTCTCTCTCTTCTTTTCCGGTGGCTGAGCAATCGCTCTCTCTCTAGTTTTTCAAGGATCGTCTACAGTTCGTTCTGTTTAGATTTTAGGGTTTTGATTTTTAGAGAAAGAAATTAGAGAAATTGGGCAATTGTGTTTCTGAGCTCGTCCAGGATCATCAACAGTAGTAGCAAATAGAGAGAGTAGAGAATTTTGATCAGAGAATCGAATTAGAGATAGCAAAGTGAATTATATAGAGTGAGAAGAGATGGGAAGTTCGGACAAGGGAACTGGTGTTGTCGACTGCAGTGTTGGGACCATCGTTTGGGTCCGGCGACGGAACGGCTCATGGTGGCCTGGTAAAATACTTGGCCCTGACGAGCTCTCTGCTGCTCATCTCATGTCTCCCAGATCTGGTACTCCAGTCAAGCTTCTCGGAAGAGAGGACGCCAGTGTGTAAGTGTTAAATTTGAATTTTAAATATATATCATATATACATACAAAATTCTTTAAAAAAAAATTGTTGTGCATTTTTTAAAAATAGATATGCTTGTTGGCTGCTGCATTTTAATGTGCACTGTGAATTGTTGGCTTTCTGTTGTGATGCATCTATTATTTGGAAATTCTGTCCAATGTTTTTATTAGGGTTTGAGTTTTTTTTGTTGATCATGTCCTTCTAAGCTGATGAAAAATGTATATAGAAATTAGAATTAACAGAGGTGTATTTTAGTTTAGCATGATGTATATAATGAATGTGGACAGCTACAGCATGTTTCTGGCGGTGGCATGCCTTTCATACTTCAAGAAGTGAAACTGTGTGCTAACTAAGAAGCAATTTGATGGAATAGGGTATGTTTTGCTTGATTATAAGACATGTTAAGGTATAAACCATTGTGAATACTAATTAATAAACTAACTCTTGTTCCCCTCTACTTTCCCATGTCGACAACTCGACATAACACGACATGGACGTGGATATGAAATATGTGAGCGACACGGACCCAATCTGAACTCCAAGGTCCTTTGATTATGATGAGAGAAGAAGAAAATTACTCAAAATTGATAGCTAGGAAGAGTTCCCTGCATCTGAGATAGGTAGAATCTCTCTCTCTCTCTCTCTCTCTCTTTTTGTTTTTTTGTTTTTTTGTTTTTTTTGGTGGTGTCGGGCATCTTAGAGCACCCCATAATTCACCACCAGACACATGTAGTCCTCCCGTCCCACGTGCACCTGGCAATTACCCCCAAAATTCCATAGGGGTGGCCTCAAGTAGTTTTGATAGGTAGAATCTCTCCATTTTTTTCTCTCTTTTTTTTTTTTTTTTTTTCCTTCGATGATGGTGGTGTCAGAACTCTTAGAGCACTCCATAATTCACCACCACACACATGTCCTCCTCTCCTATCCCACATCTACCTAGAAATTACCCGCAAAATTCCACAGGGGTGGCCTCAAGAAAATTTGAACTCTTGACTTCCAGGATGTGAGGTGAGAGGCTTGCCATTTAGGCTATTCCATTGGGGTTGAATCTCTCTTCTTTTAGACATATTCCATTTAGTTCCATTTTATTTAAGTTATTATTAAGTATTTTTTAAAATAATAGTATGATACATTACATTTTTAAGTAGCGCATTATGTTTTTAAGTATGCAAAATGTGTCCACGTACCCATATCCAAGTTTTGGACACATTTCGAGCCGAGTCCTCATATCCTAAAATTTGCGACCAGGGATGTTTGACACTCAAGTCAACACACATAACCACACCCGATACAAGTACCCAAGTCCAAGTAACATTACACTCCGTGTCACTGCGACTTAGAACCATGCTTCAAAGAATAAAGTATTGTTTCAGTCTTCGTATGTTCGGTTGTTTTTCCCACTCAATCAACGTGTGGAACGCCTCTTGATGGGGAAAACTGTAAGAATTTTTTATTTTTTTAATGAAAATCTAGTATCATAAACTTGAGTTGCAGGTGCGAGGTGGTCCCAACTTGGCCATACATCTTGTATTCTTTGTTTAAATCAAAAGATCTCTTCATCTTTATCTTGAGAATAAGTTGTATTACAGTGTTATGCTCCTCCTTTCATATGAAAGCCTTTTTAGAATAGCAAGGCATAGTATTTCAATGCTCCTCCTTTCATATGAACACTTAGATAAATTAGTCTTTCTTTAAGGGTGACAAAAGATCAAACAAGAATCTATGAACCTTACTTGAGTGACAAATGAAACTTACATATTAATACCGGCTTATTTTACAAGTAATGTTCGACAATAGTCTTCAAGAATTTTCTCAATCAGATTGAATTAACCGCCACAGCTTGTTACACCTTGGATTTTATCAAGAATGCTTCCAAACAAAATTTCACCAGTTATTGCAATTTTAGCAAATCAAAGAATGGAAGAGTAGCATCTCTGCTGGTTTGGTAATCCAAAATGTTAACTGTATTAATTGGTATAGCTTTCCAGAGTGATATGAAAATGAGGCCAGAGATTTGACTGATAGGTGGTGCCTGTTTTTCTGAATCTAGTAATTTTATTTATATTAAACTAATTGCCCTCCGCTGGGAGCTGGGAGTTAGCTTGGATGCTGCCTATATGAATATCTTGTTACCAAATGCCAACAATGATCCAATACAATTTAGTACTACTGTGTATGATGGGTTTTTTTTTTTTTTTTTTTTCTCTCTCTACTTCTCTTACTAGAGAATATGCAACAATGTGCTCCTTAAGAATGTTAAATTATTAATTATTCCTAGAAATATGGCTACTTGAGTATTATTGTTATTATTATTATTTTTATTTTTAATCTAGTTATTTTTTCACTGACATCCATCTAACTATTCTTTGTTCACTTTGTTTCTGTTTGATAAGATGTCATTTATGATATATCTTGTCAGGGACTGGTACAATTTGGAGAAGTCCAAGCGTGTAAAGGCATTTCGATGTGGTGAGTTCGATGATTGTATTGAGAGGGCTGAATCTTCCCAGGGCATGCCTCCAAAGAAAAGAGAGAAATATGCACGTCGGGAAGATGCCATTCTTCATGCTCTTGAACTTGAGAAGCAACTGCTGGAGAAGAAGTACGGGAAATTAGGATGTTCTACTAATGGTAAGAGTAGTAAATCGTCTGGTGGTGTGAAAAAAGAATTGGCGACATCTTCAGATTGCTTGGGATATGGCAATGAGAAACATGTAGACCCCAAGTCTCATCATTCCAAGAGACTGGATATATCTCTCGAGGACAAGAACATGCCCCGCCATGCACAGAAAGCCAAAGAGGGAAATCGACTGAATGGGGATGATGATAATTCTGAAGTAGTGCCTCGGATGAGAGGTTTGCAGGACTTTGGGCTCAGGATTGCTCCTTCAAGGCGAAAGCTTTCTCCTTCAGTTACCTCAGATGGTTCTCAGAAACCTGCTGTTGATAATAATGCTCATGCTCTTTCTAGTGGTGCACTTAACACTGGAGACACAGTTCATACCAACAGTAAAAATTCTTTAGACAAAAGAAAAAGGGTACATGAGGATTTGGCTGAGGAATCCATTGTCAGGAGACGTGACAGGCGCCGTCCTCTAGTCCAAGTACTGCAGAGTAGCACAATCTTACCAGTTTCCCAATCCTTGCAGCCTGACAGCAGTACGGTTTCTGTCTCTACGTCAGGAGAGGAGGCAGGAGTCATATCCCGAGCAAAGAGGGGCAAATCTGTTTACGTTCCAGGTGAGTCTGGTGATTGTTGGGAGGATAAAGAAGTTCATTCCAATCAGATGGAGATGTCACCTTCCCAGTTTGAAGAGAGTAATTGTCCTCACCCCACTACTTTGAGTGAAGATAACACCTCTGGATCTACGGAAGATACTGAAACTGATTCTTCCGAGACTGATTCTCTGGATTCAGATACAGATGAAGAGATGATGGCACTTTCAGGTTTAACTTTTGCTATCTTAAAATTTTGTCAATAATGCATCATCTCCTTTTATTTACAATCTGACAGTATCATATATAGCTTTTAAGTTTATTATGTTGAAATGCTATTTTGTACCTCCCAGCTGGTGACATCTGCTTCTATTTGTGATATTTATTGTAATGTACTCGTAATGGATTTTTGTGGACTTATATACGCACACATATCATGTATGTTGTTGAATTATCTTATCCTTTCATTATCACCCATTTTACCATATAGGATGGGCCTAATTTTCATGTAATTTTATAAAGTAGCTATTGAGGTGCTGCATAAATTAATCCGTATTGATCCAGTGGTCCATGGAAATGAAACTTGTTCTTTTTCTGATCTCTTACTCTCCTTGGTATAATGAAGGCAACTAAGAAGTTTGGTCTTTCTTATGCCATTCTTCCCCCCGCCCCAACACCACACACAGCCCACCACCACCACCAGTCTTTTAATCTTGACCTGTTAAGACCCAAAGTCACCATGACAGAGGTAGACCGGCTTGTCTTTACAATTTTATGTAGCATGATTATTCATTCATTGTGTTCTTTGACTGCAGTCTAGAGGTTCAAATTCAATTTAAGTGAGAATCTTTAAAATTTCCATGAATATTTTTATTTAATGAGGTTAAATTTGGTTGACATATTTTAAGAAATTTGAAGTTTGTTTGTGTGTTGAAAGTAAAGATCTTACCCCATGCTATTCATATTCTACCATTACCCAGTGTTGGTTTTTTTAATGCATTTGAATATTCTGTGATAATATTTTTGGATGCATGTGAAAGTAATCAAACTAGTTGATTTGGCAATGCATATGATGTTAGTAAGATAGGCACATTGGGGTTCATGTGTTAGTCTTTGCATCTTCTTCCTTTTTTCTTTTTCTTTTTTTTCTTTTTTTTTTTTTTTTTTTTTGATGTGTGTATATGAATGACTATAACATAAAAAATAAAAAAATTGATGGTTTGATAATTTTGAAGATTTATTTTTATTTTTATTTTTTTTGGTAATTGGGATTGGATAATATTTGTTTGGTTGCATGGCTTTTAAATTATCATTCTGCACCCTTTCATGATTGTAGTTCTTGATCTTGATCCTATCATCCTTCGATCTTACAATGCAAATTGTTGCTGAATTAATCCAAATTGCAATAAAAATCTCAAGTGGGTACAATTCTTGTGGGATTCCTGTAGGAGTGCTGTAGTTGTGAGATACCAAGTTGAGTCTTGTTTCTGCTTATTCTATCTTTTAGTCTAATGTTTATATTCGTGTGGATCTTTTCAATAAGTTAGGGCCTACTCATTTCAATGTCGCATTTCTCATTTAATTCTGTAACTAAAAGAGTAGAAACCTGGTGGGGCTCTTAAGCTGTTTTCGAGTAATTGACTCCTCTAGCAACCAATGTTTTCTATTTGATTCTTCATCTTGACTAATATAGTTTCAAAGTTGCTCCCAATAAAAAGTATGCCAAAAGTTTGCTTCGAATACACTATGGGGAGTCGGTGCAATTTTTCTGAAACTCAATAAATCTGCTTTACGTTAGTCAACCCCTTATCTAAACTTTTCCTTCTGCTCCTTTTGTTATTCACCCATATATCATAGTTTTTCTCATGTAGGTCATACATAAATATTTTAAAATACAATCCTTTTTGTCTTGTAAACTGAATACTTTCACAGGTCATTGTGTATAACAAGTGATGATTGATGACACCCATGAATTTTTTCATCTTACAATTTGCGTATAATTTTTAATATTCTATAAGAGTTAGTATTATGTTATATTAAACGTTTTTATATGCTAATAATGTTATTACTTGAATGAAGGCTAATGTGCTCCAAAACTATTAGGGTGAAACTGGGAAGCTTATGTACTCAAAATGTTTGTATTGGTTTAATTAAGATCCTAATTTTGACAAACTGCACCCTCCCATTTGAGGTGTTGCTATAACTGTTAACCTGTGATGGAAGATTATCATTCATATAGCCTACTGGGTCTCTATGTGAGTAATTGTGCGTGCATTATTAAAGGGATGGAGGTTATTGACTCGCATTCATTTTCTGGTTTTGATCAGTGATGCATTGCAACCACTGTTTGTAGAGAAACTGGATTATTGTTATTCCTCCATGGCCCAATTACATATTTTTCACTGTTCTGTGCTCAATTTTGATAGCTTGCTACTTTTTTCAGGATATATAATTCTGATCTCATAATTCTTTTTGGCCCCTTTGGCTTGTGTTCATTCTCAAGTCATGCACGGTTTATTATGGCATTCTTAAGGCAAAAAACATGTTTTCTATGATCAGTGCCATGATTATTAATTTTTTTGTTTTTCCCCTTGTGGGACATCTGCTAGTCATAATTAATCAACTCTTCATCTCCATACATCAGTAGTTCTAGTGTTACTTTAGAACGATTGTTGTTTATTTAAGATGTTATTTAGTTGAATTTTCGGGTTTTTGCCTCTAGAGTAGTTGATTACTTGGCTTTATTTCATTATCATGGCTGCCTAACTCTTTGTGTTTGGTCGTTCAGACACTGTTATGACTAATGAATTTGAACCAAAATCTCTGGGAAGATCTGAAGCAGAAGCAGAAGCAGAACATGGAAGCATGAGCAGTGACGAGCCTGATGATTTGTTACTAACTGGTGACATGTCTGATCTTTGTCCTCATGACCCTGTTTCAGCTAGTGCAGGTGTGTCCAAGTGGCAACTGAAAGGAAAAAGGAATAATCGCAGTTTTACAAAAAGGTCTGTGGATATAAAGGGTCCAGAAAGATTCATTTATGGAATGACTTTGGATGAGGAGGGAAGCAATGGTTGTGATGAGGTTGATGCAGTTGAGAAGAATATTAGTACTCGAATGGGTGGATTTGACAACAAGGGGTATTCGGTAATATCAAAATCTACATCCAGAAGAGTAGATAGATTCAACCGTAATATAATTGGTTGGGAGGATTTGGCTTGGAATGATCAGCCTGCTTATACAGGATTCAGGGAGGACTTTGGCCTTGATTCTGGATTTGTTGGCCGTAATCACTTTGGTGGCAGGACGAAATCAATATTGGTAGATGTAGATTTGAAGGTCCAATCAGGCTATCAAAGAGAGCGTGTCCCTATGATTTCTCTGATGAGCAAGTTTAATGGGCAGGCTATCGTAGGGCACCCAATTCAGATTGAGGCATTGGATAATGGTTCATCTGAAATTCTTTTGTCAGCAGCTGATGAGTTTTTGCCTGAAATATTAGATAAAGATGCAACACTTCCACCAGTGTGGAGGACTGCCAGGAGGACAGCCAATTTTCGGGTACCGCGACCTCATCCATCTACAACAGTGGATGGTGATGAAACTGCTGAGCATTTTAGACATTTTAATCAAGACAGGAAAGTATTGTTCAAGAAATCAAATGCAGGTAGTTTCGGACACAAGACAAGCATGATGACAAAGAACCTTTCTCATGTCTCCCATCCTCCAATAGACAGGAAGTTCCAAAGAAAGACTCCGAAGAAGATAAGCTTATCTTCTAACCAAAAGATAAGAACCCTGTCTTCAATATCGACAGAAAGAAAACTCAATAGTGTTCCAAAACTCAGTAACAACAGTTACCAAGTGGGCGGGCTTATCAAACCGGAACCTGGGCCCACTGCGGTAGCTTGTATCCCTGTTAAACTAGTATTCAGTAGGTTATATGAGGAGCTGGGAGCCACCATAAATAAGAGCTAGTCACGGGGCTTCAGGGAATGGAAATACAGAGTCATCCGTCATAGCTACATGTAAATTGTTATACTAGATCAATAATCTTGTACTGCACATCTATTTGTTGTTAATTTTTTGTCCGGTAAATGTGTTCCTCACACCCTGATGTCATGTCCAACATTGAGAGGATGGATTTTGCATACTGTAAACAAATAATGCAGGTGACAGAGAAAGAAACCATATATTGCATACTTGATCCGGGATTCTGTCACAGTTGCTGTACATGGGTTTCTGAGGAAGCAGCAGACGAAGAATGTAACTTCTTATAAGCCATCAAATGGGGAGCTCTGGCGCTCAGCAAAAGAGATAGAAGTAGGTATCTTTAAATTCGTAGAGATGAATGTACATTGTATTCCGTTAAAGCTTATGTTTTTTTGAAGTTTCTTTCCTTAATTTAAATATAGATGAAACTTTGATAATGGATATCAATGTAGATGCTATTTTTAGGTTGTAATTCCTTTTACTTGTTTGTCTGTAAATTAGATGGTGCAAGTTTTCAGTTAGTCTTGGCTCAACAGCCTCTCTGAGCTGCACAACCTAAGGCCTCTTTGAAATTCCTTAAATTTAAGTGGGTCCTTTTTATAATCTTTAAGATGTTTTTATATGTTACATTTTTTGTTTTGGAGTACAAAGTGGTGTATGGTACATTATGACTAGCTATGCTGAGGCTGAGCTAAACCAAGTGACTAAGTTGGGCTAATTCTAAATTGCATTGCTAGTTTAGAGAAGGATATCTTAAGTTGTTAGCTCCGAAATTCTGAGTTTAGTGACTTCTGATGGTTGCTTTGGTGGTTGCTCAATGGCGGGAATTTTCAGTCACTGGTGTTTTTCAAAACTGCTTCTAGACCGTTGCACGGTGGAGTTGATAGCAGGCAAGTTGCTTCATGTTTATCGTCGGGAAAAAAAAAATTGTTGAAAAATATTGGATAAAGGAAGACGTAAAATTGTAACCATTGTACTTTAACTATTACAATATATGGACAAAAATGTCTTTGAAGCGTAAGTATTGCTCTAATTAGAATTATAAGTTTGCTTTTGAAACTAAAGGAAGGTCCTGGAAGTATACAAAACTCCTATTATTTAGACTCTTTTAACATGATTTTGGAGTGATCGGACGTAATGTGAACAATCTCAATGTCTTGTCTACCTACTAATCGGACTGAAATCTGTAGTTTAATGTGACTCGGGTCTTCGGAATGAAATCTGTAGGCTTCATTTTGGTCTAATTTCACTCTCTCTAAAAATTCTAACTGATGTTGTCATGAGAAATGTTGAGTACAATTGATCTCAGCTCTTGAATTTATGGGTCTCAGCATGAGAGCCACATGATCAAGTAGTTGCGACTACACGAGAAATTATTAGATGGTCTTAGACCATTTGACGATCAGTTCAATTTAGACTGATAATGAAATTTCTTTGTAATATATTAACAAAGAGTTGGAATTGAATTTGGTCTACCAAGTGTCAATGTACCATCTAATAATTTCTCCAACATTAGAGCATCTCCAATGTAAAATGTTATATTTTAAGAAGAACTACAGTGCCAAAATACTATATTTTAATAATTCTGCTTCAATTGTGCTTACACTTTGACTATTACTTTCCTTAATTTAATCAATGCATTATTCTTACTTTTCTATGCGACTTTCTAGCCCATATCTACACAAAAATCCAAAAAACAAATTAGCGTCTCAAATTCTCAACTTATAGCAACCTGCTGTATATGAGAAAAGTTTTGAGAATCATATTTTGAGAGGTTGTATTGCTTACCATTGGAATGTAACAGAAAAAAAATCACCTATATTTTGAGTTTGAGAGAACATTAGAGACGCTCTTACTTGCCATTTGTCATTATTTGACATCTTTGACAACCCCTGAAAAATTTATTAGTTGATTTTAGATCATTTAACACTTGGTGGGCTAATTTAATAAAACTCGTCCGATCACCTATAAATAGGTTTTGATATCAGTGTTCCTGGTATGATTTTCCTTTTAATTCTTGTTATTTTCAGTCGGGTTTTACTACTGAACCATAAATCATGTGAATATGAAATTGTAGTTGTATGATTGCATAATATCAGAAATCATAAGAGAAGGCGGACCAAGGAACAAAAAAAGAAAGAGTTGTCGCAATTGAAGAATCCAACTAGTTCACTGGTAAAGTTCACAGCAAATCATCAATTTGCTTGGACATAAAGAATTAGAAGAGTTGTTCTATAGCCAGCTTCAGACAGAAAATAAGTGTAACTAATTTATCCGCAACATGACATGTTATTCATCCGCAACAAAAGGAATTCCCCTATAAATAAAATTGAAAAGAAATTAGTAATCAGGCAATAAAATTGAAATGAAATAAGTAGTTCTCTTTCAGGTAAAAATGAAACTGGCACACCACAACGGACAAACTTGGGATAGGCCAGACAGGACGAGTGAAGTGAGATGTTAGAAAGGGATAAAATTTCAAATGATATAAAACTGTAATTGTGCCAATTATACCAATCATAGAGATCATAGAGTTAGAGAGCGCTAATGGGCATGCGGCAGTGGCATTTTCATAAATGACTCAAAAGCAAAATTCCAGGAAATCCATGGAAGAATGACTTGGCCATTTTATTGACTTTTGGAGGTCCCCGTATTTATTTATGGGCATTACGACTCCTCAAGCCGAGGTTACGTCTCTTCTATGACTTTGCTTTTGCATATACAAGGAGGGTAAGAGTCTATAGATAAGGGAGAATAAACTTAAGTGGTATGGGCATATTCAATGCCAACTTATAGATGCACCGGTGAGGAAGAGAGATTGATTTGCATAGAAGGTAAGAGACAAAAAGGCCGACCAAAACTAACATGAAATGAAGTGATAAAAAACAATTTTTAAAAATTAATTCTAGTAGGAGATATGACTTGTGGTAAACAAGAGTGGAAAAGGAGAATCCATGGGGCTGATCCCGTTTGTACAAGATAAAGGCAAGGATGATGTGTGTGTGTGTGTGTGTGTGTGTGTGTGTGTGTGTGTTGGGGGGGTGGCATGCCTAGCACAATGTATGCATGGGAGCATGCCAACACGCCTTGGGAATGGTTGTGCACCACTCCAAAGTGGTGGCACTCGGTGGTGGTACCCGGCGGTGCGCCAACAACCCCATGGGCAAGCTGCACATGCTTTGGTGCTTGGCATGGCACGCTAAGCACGTATGGGCCCTTGGGTGTGCTAACTTTCCCTTGAGCAAGGTGTTGGCTCGGACAAAGGCATTGTGGCTCTCGATTATAGCTCTCAAGCCCGCGTGGGTAGAGCACAATGGCACAGATGGACTTATGTTGATGGCATGGCATGTGCCATGCCCCAACAGACCAAGGCGTGGCAAACTCATGGGCATGACTTGGGATTGGTCAAGGTGACCACGAAGCAAAGCAAAGGGAATGCTAGATAGGGCTTGGCATGGACTAGGCCCCATTCCGTTGGCTACTTAGAAGATGTTGGTGGCACGGGCCAAGGCAATGGCTGACATGTGGCTTAGATAGGTGGCATGCATAGCTTTGGTCAGCAGACAGTTCGTACAAATTGGGAGTGGTTGATGGCCACCTCCCACACATGCTGACATTGTGGAGAGGTGGGGTTGTGCCACCACCCATGCAAGGTGGCAGCTTCTGAGAAAGACAACACGAGAGGCGGTTGCAAGCAATTTTTCATGCATTGCTAACATGACGGAGATATGGGCAAGTGTTGGGCAACCACCAAGGCTACATGGCAAGAGTTGGCTTGTGCCAGCAAGCCCTAGCAATGTTCTTTGGAGAACTAGGCGGAGTCTTGGGTTTTTGACTCTGGGGCATCGTTTCATGCTACCTCAAGCAGAGAATTATTTGACAGCTATGTCCTTTTTTTCGAGTAGTTGAAGAAGCCGAGACAATAGTTGGGGGTGTCAACTGAAATGCCTTGCTGGCAGCAAGCAAATTTTGCCAGCACAAGCCTAGGTGTGTGGGGATGTCATCCACCAACATAGTGGGCAATTTCATAGGCAGGTGTAGGCAGTTTTGTGAGTGCCTATATATAGATATTTAGGGGTCTGCAGCAAGGAGATAGACATTGTGAGCTTTGCTGTAGATCCAAGCCGGATTTCCTTGTACTATTTGTAAATTTAGTGAAGGTTGGAAGCCAAAGGCAGAACTGTAAATTGTTGTGTGCGCTTTTTGTTTTTCCAACTTAACCTTCGTGTGTGTGGGAGTGTGACTTGGTGTGTGTCCTAGGCACCAGGTGTGTTGGCTGAGACTAAGAGGCGGTTGATGGCTACCTTGGTGCCATCACAGCAGCGAAAATTTGGTGTTGAATTTGACCCTTCTGACATCTAACATGGAGAAAATATTTCAAAAGTTGGGGAAGTGGGGGAGCAGTTTTATGAGAATATTAAAATGATCATCACCTCACAGCTGCTTGTCCTGCAACATCAACTGCCCCCTCATTGTGGGAGATACAGGAATTGGGACTTCAGTCCCACAAGGAACTTGAAAGAGGTGGATGGGAGGGGATGGACTGGGGTGAGCATGCCCCCATAATAAAATTAGCATACCAAATATGAGAAAACTAATTGACATGACATCCGCATGCCATCTGGCATTTTGGTATTCGGACTAATCACCATTTCAATAGTAAAATAAAGTGCCAAAATGCCCAACTCAACTCAACAAAGCCTTCTCCCACCTACCTGGGTACATGTCTTATTTTTCCATTCTGCTCCTATCTAAAGACCACAGCCTCAGTCAAAGGACATGTTATCATATCTTTATTTACCAACTCTTCCCATGTTATTTTGGTCCCCCACACATTTTTTTTTTTTTTTTTTTTATTTTTTTATTTTATGACAAGCTATTTTGGATGGTACTTTCAGCTTCTTCCCCTAGTATTATCCTCAACGCGAAAAAATAAAATATAAGGATGAGGAATCGCAGAAGAAGCTGTTAAAGTACACATTCCATGGGGGCAATACTTGCAGGATCAGCAGTCCATTTGCTATAACCACATCAGCAGGCTCAGTAAAGATAAAAGTAACAAAAAAAATTACCAGCCTCCATGTCTTGAAAAATAATCATTATCCAGCGATATAGCAAGTGCAACGGTTACTGCTCTCTCTGCCAGAGTCAGGGGACGGGTTACTTCTAACTCTTGAAGCTAAAAAGGAAAAAGAATGAAAAAAAAAATAAATAAATAAAAAGGAAGAAAGAAAGAAGGAAAACAACATAATTAAGGACAACTACAAATAATAATAAATAAAAAGACCATCTATTATGTGGTACTTTACCACTCCAGCAGGGCCAATGATGGCGGTACTATCAACACTCCCAAATCGGATAACATACTGGCCAGCATCAGTGAAGATCTGCATCATATTAATTAGACTTTTAGATTGTTATTATGCACTTCTTTTTTTGGAAGTTACAGCAAACACACCCTCACTACTCACAATATGTCCCCACTGGGACTCGAACTCTCGAAATCCACCCCCCCCACCCCCCCCCCCCCCCCCCCCCCCCCCCCCCTCTTTGGGGAGGAGAGATCATACCATTGGGCTAGAGGCCCTTTGGCTTGTTACTATGTACTTCATGTTAAAAAAAGAATTATGAAATCAAATCTTTTAAAATCTCTCTACTACAGATGATACTACAAGAAAAGCATCATGATTTAAAGGCAATTCACTTATAAAGGATACACCTGTCAGTGGATCACGTCATGATTTAAAGGCAATTCACTTATAGAAACCTGGTGACAATTTCGCATCCGACAATCAGACAAATTTGTGGCCAGAACCATGAAAAATAAATTTAAAATTCAAAGTTATAGCTAAATCCAATGGAAAAATAATTTAACTCGACATTATTTAAATACATCTAAATTTTTTAGTATGCATACAGTTATATGCATTAAGTAATCCAGGATGGGTGCCAGTTCACCCATACCCAAACTTTATTATTTCTAAAGATTCCAGGACTTATGGCCGTTGATGAAATCATTAGCCCCACACCCACTTCATCAAGCATGGGATTTTTAAATGAGTATTTAGAAAATTGCTTATATCTATGAGCCTGAAATATAAAATGACTTGAGAAACAGTACATTAAAAAAAATACTATAATTGGCCTTCAGATTTGCAAAAGAGGTTACATAACTCATAGTGAGCCGACAACTACAGATCTTAATTCAATACTTTAAATAGGTTAAAGACCCCCAAATATCTTAAATCCAAAACCCTATAATGGGTACAGTGTCATGAAGTAGTGTGCACTATTTCCACCCTTAAACATATTGCTTCCGATATCTTTGGATATCCATTCCACATCAGAAAAATTGAACTAATCAAGTTTGGAAGAAAGAAAATTCTAGATAGATCAGAATTTATTTTTTTTAGCTCCTCTTCTTTTCAGTCTTCTTTACCGCTTTGGCAACTTCATTGTCAACAAATAACATAATATTCTCTTCTATACTCGATGAATTTTCTCTTTCCACCTTTCTCTTCTTTTTTGATAAGTTTTTGTCATCCTATTTTTTTTTTTTTAATAATAAATTTTGTCATCCTATTTTCAAACCAATAATATAGTTGATATCCTCAAATCAACAGAGAGACCAAGTCTGGTGCAGTGAAACCTTATTTTCAGGAATCTGCCGAAGTAATAAAAAGAAATGGTCACATGCCCAAATGTTCTCAAATCATAATTCTTAAAAGATACCAAATCTGACACCTCAGATACATTTAAAATTCTAAAACAACGTCAAGAACAATTTGATCAATATTTCACACCATAATAGTCACGTGATGCTACAGCTATATTTCCTTGAATTACAACACTTCCTAATGGCTCTTACAATGCCCAATAACACAATATATCAATCCAGCTTCTTTTTCTTAAGCCAATAGAATTGCATAAAATTCTGATCTCTGTTGTTGAAAGAAGAGAAACAAGGAAAAGGTAGAAGTAAAAGAATTTCACAACACACAACCAAAATAAAGACAATAGTGGATAAGAATAACAAATAATGGAGTCTTAAATCTTAACACAGTGAATAAATATGGGAAACACTGAAAGTGAAAAACCAACCTCAAAACCAAAACCCCTCCAGTCACGTTCTATTTGAGCCAGAACTCCCCCATCAATATCCTTCAAAGTAAATGTCCAGTTCCAAAAGCCAGGATTCTCAACCACTGCAAACTGCTTATCACTACAAAGGAAATGACAGACAGGTAAATAAAGTTTTAACCATAGATACGTATGATGGAATCGAAATTACTTAAAAGAAACAAAATTAATCCTGGGGTTTAATGGTGACGTGGAAATTTGGGGAGTCAAATAGTGCACGGAAATTTCACGGTTGCAGAAAAGGATTATGCTGCTTTTGGGGGGAACTTCTTAAAGGAGGTATATTTTTACATAAAAGTAAGAAAGGATTGTGTTTTTGAATGAAAGATGGTCTGACTGCTCTTCTCTAAAGGCCCTTATAAGATCTGTTTGCAACAGCACCTTTCCGAAAGGCCAAGGTAAGGATCGTACTAGGAAGTAAATCGAAGGAGGAGGGAAGGGGGAGTGGTTGCAGCAAGAATGTAGTTTCACAGAAACCTATTGGGTTGTATACTTCAGAGGGTAAGATGCAGGAGGATATCTTGGTGTGAAAGATAAGCAGACTACGTAGGTCCCTGGTGAAGATGTTCACTGAATCTTTGATGGTTCAAGCGCACTGGAGGTGGAATTTGAATTAAGACAACTACAGAGTACAATTCACCTTCTAAAATTGCTTGGATAGAATTTATACATTAAATTCTTACCATCAACCACTAATCAGTGCGAAGTGGGTGAATCCTTATAGATGTGTTGCACGCATGGTAGGGCAAGAGAATGTTAACCATCTTACAATCCATTGTTCGCTAGAGAAAGAATGTTGGGGTCATCTAGTTTCCATCTTTGGTTAAATTGGTTGCTTTTAGGCTCGATAGAAAGGCTTTTAAAGCCTGCAATATAGAGGTTATGATTCTTCTTTCGTCAAAGCTTGAAAGGGAGCCCAATTTTACCTTTTTCAGTCCATAAAAAACAAACATAAAAGGGTTTTTGAGGCCCTGAGATCTCAACCTGGCTTTGAAGGATGTTTATTGTCCTTTTGAGGTTATTGCTTTCTTGTGTTCTAGCCTTAGAGAAATCTAGGCCTACAACTTTATCTATTTCAGATTTATTGTGTATGCATTGCTTCTTTACAAGGAGCTCAGGCTTTACAGTTTTAGCTTCTTGTTCCCCTAGTATACATCCCGTGTCAACGGAGCTTGCCTCCTTTCTTTGTTTACTACATTCTCTTTACTAAAAGAAAACGGAAAAAAAAAAAAAAGGAATTAAGACATTTAACTGGTAGCTGTCTTTTATCCCCCTCAACTTATTGCTACATGAGGTTCACCATTTGTTGAGGAGCAGTTTCATTCTTCATTTATTATAGTGTGCCAAAAGATGACAGCATAGATAGTCACTTATCAGTCCAATTTCAACCTTCAAACAAAAATTGCAAGTTAAAATATAGCAAAAACTATATATATATATGTGTGTGTGTGTGTGTGCGCGCGCGCGCGCGCGTGTGTGAAGCAAGTTTTAAGTGTTTTCAAGCATATGATCCCATTTGCAAAACAAGAGAGGGGAATCAACCATGCACAACCTACCCTTTCCGGATTGAATGCTTTCAAACTCACTTACTGTTTAAATAGCTGGTAGCTAATGTCAAAGTTCCAACATAAATATATTACTTTGTTACAATTACAATTATGTTAAAATATAGAGAACAAATTGAATTCTGCATCACAAACATCTTTACGAATTCATAGGTAAGAAATACTCACCCTAAAAACTTTTGAAGGTTTTAGTTGTTAAATTGCAGGAGGGGCCATTTCCTGGTGCAATGGTAAAATACTCGTGCTATCATCTGTGAGAACGCAAGTTCGAATCTTGAGAGCAGCTCCTTTATGTAAATAATGTCAAAGGTTAGACCTGTATCCAATGTGCCCCTCCAAGCACCCTCAATTAACGGAGACCACACTGGGTATGATGTCCCTTTTTTCTTTTGGTTGTTAAATTGAAGGCCAAAAGGTAGGGAGCTGGTTTAAAGTTGAATGGGCTGGTTAAGATGGAGTTTTGGGGTTGAGATAGAGGATGTGAAACACTAGTGATTAGTACTTGTTGCTTGAAGTGAAGAAAAGAAGGAAAAGTAGAAGAATCTAAGAATTCCACCCAAAATCCCAAGGAATAACCCCATAGGTAAAAATTATTAAACGTTGTAGAGCTTCAAATCTTTTCTTAATATCCAAAATCAACTCCATCTAATAGAAACGTTACATAAATATTTACATACTAATAAAGTACCCCTAATTATACTAGGTCTAAGACTCTGAAATAAGAAAACGAAAACTTTGAATAAAGACTATTCCTATCCTTCTAAAGACCCCATACAAAAATTCAACGTCACAAAATTGTTCCAAAATTATCCCATAGACCATAACTACAGCCCATATACAGTAAATTTTAAAGTTACCAAATACCTTTGACCCCTAAAACCTAATAAAGCATAAACAAAACTATAAAGACAACATACAGCATCTCCAATGCAAAATGCTATATTTCCATGCCAAATCTATATTTTGAGAGGAGCTACAGTGTCAAAATGCTATATTTTTGTAATTCTGCTCCAATGGTGCATTTCATCCAAAGTGTTATTTTTTAACACAACAACCATTTCATGTTTTGAGAGCCCATTGGAATGCCTTATTTTCATTTTACCAACTTTTGACAATCTCAAAATATAAGAGGTCTTTTGAGAGATCCCATTGGAGTGCCTATTTTCATCTACTTGCTATACTTTGAGTTTGAGAGGCCATTTGAGAACTGTTATATTTGAGAATACATTTGAGAATCTCAAATTATGAGAGGTATTTTGAGAGGCCATTGGAGTGCCTTATTTTCATCCACCTGTTATATTTTAAATTTGAGAGCCCATTTGAGAGGCCATTGGAGATGCTATATAGTAAGACTCGATTCAATCATAAACTTGATTACACAAGGTAAAAAGCATGCTCTGTGTAAAATTCTTAATTCACCTATTCTAAAGTTAGCATGCTTTGCACTCGGGTGTTGTAATGTTTTAACATAATAAACCACACATCCTAACATTGTATCTGTGAATTTTGGAATTGATTTAGTTTAATGCTGTCATTTGAAGGGAACAAGATAATAAACCACAAGTCCTAATATTGTATCCATGAATTTTGGAATTGATTTAGTTTAATGTTGTCATTTGAAGAGAACAAGAGCAATGGGAAGAAGTCTCGTCTTTTTTTTTTTCTTTTTCTTTTTTTATTGTTCCACTGCATTTATCTTCAATAATATGTTCAATAATTTCAATAATTTGCTAAACAAGCACATTTTTGGATAACTTGGAACCTGACCACTCAGTACATTTCTGTCCATTGCTTCAAGCTTCGGACTTCCTTTGGTTTAACTCCATGAACATCATGTTCCCTGCACTTTCGTTAAGTACCGCAGTAGTCACAACCTATATTTCTCAAGACCAACTCAGTGGCTTGTATTAGCTTCCATAAGAGAAGTAGCAGCCAACGTAATTGATGGTTGCATTTATTGATTTTTATTACAGAGGTTGGAACTTCATTCTTTTGCTGCTCACTTCCACTCCCATTTTGTTGATGAAGAAAAGCATAAATAGAAGCATACATGGGTTGAAGAGTAGCCTCTAAAGGTAACATTCCTGAATCAAGTACATTAGACTTTGATGGAAGCTCTGCACTAGTAACATGGTAGTAGAATTCAAAAAGTTATGTACAGATTAAGAAAGATATGATTTTTTTTGCTTAATAACGGACTGATTTAAGATAGCTCTAAAAGACTAGGGTTCGTGCTACCTATGAATGATTTTGTGGTACGTATTTGTAACAGAAAGTGTTGGGAATTATACCCCTTCAATCAGTACAGCAGAAGCAAACACAAACTATCATGGAGATCCAACCATGAAACAAACAAACAACAACACAAAGAAAACAAAATATTTAACATGGTTCGTCCCCACCTGGCCTAGGGAGAGAAGAATTTTCATTATAATGAATCAAGAAGAGAATATACAACTGTAGAGAATACCCACCCAGTAATTGCGTCTCTCTACTCTCACCCACTCTCTTCTCTTCTCACTCACTCCATTCCTTTTCTTCTCTACTCACAACTCAACTCCCTTTCTAAATTTATAGAGAGTTCCTAACCCTAGCTTGGTGAACAAGTAATACAAATCTTTACCGGGCAAGGAGAGCAACTACTTGGGGCTCAAGTAGAATTACTTTAGGCCCAAGTCTAACAACACATCCCCAAACCAATACAACCCAAAGCGCAACCCAATAAGAATTTGAGACATACATAACAGAAAGCTTGTACGGTAAGAGTATAAAGAGCTAGAAGAAAGTTTCTAGGGGTACGTGAATCAAAACAGATTAGAACTTGGGTAGGTTATAAAGGTGACAGGATGCAGGAATTTCAGAGAAAGGTTCTGAAGCAAGAATTTTGAAGTTTTTAGAAGTTAGATTGAATGCCAAAGGATAGGAAAATTGTTTAAGGTTGATTAAGGTGAAGTTCTGGGTTGAAACTAGGGCTGTTTGGAGGCCACAAACAATAACTCAAGAATTGTGCTTAAAGAAAAGGAAGAGGAGGAGAATCTAGGAATTTCACATAGAATTCCTTAGGAACCACCCCTTAAGGTAAGGTAAATATCACATAAAGCTTCAAAGTTTCTCTTGAATTTCAAAATAAACTCACAGAATAGAAAGATTACAAAGATATTTATAAGTTGGAGTACTCCTAATTATACTGAGACTCACCAAGGTTGTAACCTGGTGGTACTTCCTTGCCTTCCAAAGTAGAAGGTCAAGGGTTCAAGTTCCCATAGGGGCAAGTGGGTAGGTGTGTGTTTCTTGTCAAAGTAATATATATATACACACACACACACTAAGTCTAAGACTCTAAAATGGGAAGCTAGAATTTTTTACTAGGCTCAATTTCACCCTAGACTGGGTTACACAAAGTAAAAACCATGCTCCACATAAAATTCCTTATTTGCATCTTCTCTGGTTAGCATGTTCAGCATATACACACACACACACAGAGAACTGCCAAAATATCATAACAAAGATAGAGAAAAATGACAAAGAACTCGTCCTTCTATGATAGTCATCGGTACAACTTCTGCTATACGGGATCAGAAGTTGACACACTCGGTAACACTTGATTAAGATCCTGTTTCCAATTTCTCTAACTCACGATCAGTCTCCAATTCGGATTGTATCTATCACTCATGCATTACTAGCTGTTAATTTCAAGAATCAAACCACTTCTATTCCAAGTTTATGTAACTAGGAAAACAAATGACATGCACCATGAGCACAATAATAATATATTGTCAATAAGACAAAAGTAAGATGATGGAAACTAGAATTACCCCAAGTACAAATCATAAATCCTCTTCCACAGATGCCATCTTCTGTGAACGACACCAACTTCCTAGAAAAAAATACTCGAAATCATTAAAAACTAGATTTATGCATACCTGCGATATTTTTATTTTTAACTATTGGAACAGAAACCCAATGATGTCTTGCACATAAAAAGTTTCAAATTGGCATACCTTACCATCTATCTCTGCATAAATTGAGCTGGTTATCCACCAAAAGGGCCTCCGGACCTACATGTAGGAATCAGTTAGCCCTTAAGCTGCAACAGCAATAAACCCAAAAACTCGAATGGATGGCATCATGTCAGTTAGTCAAAAAGAAATATGTGCAAAGTTCTCACCCTAAAGAAATCATTACTCAGGGCATCAGTTATGTCAGCCACAAAAGGGCGCCTAAGACGAAGCAACTGCAATAACAATATCACATTTAGCAAATGAGAATATCTAAAAAGTAGTGTAAAACCCACGTGTGCAGTTCTAAAGATAATGGAGTAATATTCAAATATGAAATATACTTATTTACCAATATTTGACTTATGTGATTAATGTATACCAAAAAAGAAAATGCAGCAAAGAGAGTGTTCATGACATGGTTTGCAGTTGCAGATGTGGAAGCGGTGTAACATAAGCAGCCAGTACCACTGTAATGTTACAGAATCAGTTATCATCATCATCATCCTTACCTTTACCCCATACAGATGGGTCGGCCTCACGAATTCTCTTTTTCCATTCTTTCCTATTATATATTATGTCTTCTATTAGGTTTAATTTTTAAATTTTTTATTTTTATTTTTATTACTTCATCCCATGTAAGTTTTGGTCCGCCTCTCTATCACTTACCTTCAAGACAAACAACTCTTCTCTAAATGGTGCATCATCGGGTCTACGTTGAATATGACCATACCACCTACCTAAGTATACTTTCTCTAATTTTACCATTTATAGCGCTATACCTAGTGTTCTCCTCACATGTTCATTATTAATCTTATCTCTTCTAGTTAGTTCAATCATCCAATGTATCATCCTCATTTCCGCTGCATGAAAACATTGTTCTTATGTCTTTCAACGGCCAACACTCTGCTCCAAAATAGGCCCCAAAATAATTTAGTAAAAAAGATTTCGACGTCACACATAGAGCCCCAATTCCCAAGTACACCACCTTTTACAACATTGGAGAACTTTAGAGATTTTTATTGAATTTTTAAAGACCAAGTAATACAGATGGTGACCTATCCATGCATTCTAAGTCGTAAGACTTGTGACATATATAAGACGTAAATAGGTAATAAGAAACTCATACAAAACAAATAATAAACAGGAAGGATTGGAGAAAAATATCATGCAAAAAACAAAATTACAAAAAGACGGAAAGAAAGAAAATGAACTTGGAAAAAAATTGCATACCTGTCTGGCAATGACATTACTCTTTTCACAGATTAAACCCACAGGCTGAAAGAAAAACATTTTATATCAGAAATTTGGCAGGATCTCTAGTTGTGCAATAGTAGCCACGTCTGTTTAAATATTAATCCCAAGGGTGGCAGAAAGTCAATAGGCTAAAGAAAGTGGAAAGGCAACATACTGATTGAGGGTAGCAGATATCTACTACAAAGTAACGATTTTCCTGCATTCCCAGAAATACAAATTAAAGGTGAAACCACAAATAGAAGCCAACCAAAAATAAATTAACAAGGATGAACAGAAATAAATGGCATGCTACTTAGGAAAATAAATAAATGAAAATGCAATAACACATAATCACATGAATAACCTTGTTGTTAACAGAGTGTTTCAAAATGGAGAAGCACAAACTTTGAGGTTGTGGAAGACAAAACAGTTCGGTCTACCAAAGTTCTAAGACTCGTCTAAGTGAAACCAACACAGGTTAGGTTCACACGGTCTTGAGTTGATTCAATCAGTGCCTCGTTCGATAAGAACCAACTTTTAAAATTTTACATCCTAGGTCTTCCTGTCCAACTAAGTCTATATTTTTTTATACATATTCAAAAGATCCAAAATAACTCTAGGAAAGATGGGGGGAAGGGAACTAAGGACTAATACAGGCACAATCACTGGAGTTTTCATACAAAACTCCACCCAACTAAGATCTAGATTGAGCACAACACCACCAATTTCCAGAAACCTGATTTATTATGAAGCTCCATCAGGACTAATAAATCTAGACAAGATGTCTAAATCAGTCTTAAATGCAAACAAGGCTATCTACAAATGAGAAAAGAGATAATTTGTTTTTCAGTAGTGCCCAGGACCCCAAATGAACTACAAGGAAAATTGTCAATTATGTTAGCTTATAGTTTTACATCAAAAAAAAAAATGTTGTCTTTAGTGAAACCAAAACTCAAATAAGTGGACACTGTACAAAGCAAAAGGATTAACAGAAATTAATACGTGAAGTCAATAAATAAAAAAATTTAAAATAAATAAATAAATAAAAAATCTACAATATACAGTGTTATGCGGTGAACAAATCAAAGAACAATCAGGGAAGAGAAGTAGGGAACAACTTCTTTCTAGTTTTTCTGTAGAAGTCTTTTTTCCACAGTCATTATGGCTGAATAAGACAGGAACTTTTGCTTCATCCATTGAAAACCATATGCTTCAATGCAAAAAACCTAAACATTATTCTCATAACTTTCCGTCTATTAGTTGGTTAAGAATTTTGAAACTATTTAACTAGATAATAGACAGACACTTGACTATTCTAAAAACTAATAAAACATCTGTAGTGTTTAAAATTTTAAATGATGACATGATGGAAAACCACTAAGTCTGTCAAATGCTTAATATAGATGGAGGTAAACAAATATATGGAGGTCAACAAATAGATAGGCCAAAAACAATTACCTGCTCAAATCCAAGAACAAGATTTGCCCACTCTATGTCCCTAGTAATCAACAAATTGGATCTTGCAAGAAGAGGTGCAACGAGGGCCTAAAAAAATTTAAAAAGTGAAGACCAAGTCATTTTGATGCAGTTAGAAGTATGTTAGAAGGCATCCAAAGCAACAAAAGATGAATGCCACAACATTAGAATTTCAAAAACCTATGCATAAAAGAATGAATATATTGCATAAAAATAAAAATCTCCTGATTTGCAACAAAAGTTTCTAAGTTGAGAAAATAAAGATGAGACACAATATTATACTGAACCTAAGCATATATACAATTTATTAAATATCTATATATGGGTAGGCTTGACCCATGAGCAAACCTCACTACATGGATTACCCATAAGTTCCAAAATCAGTTAGTGTAAAAAATCCAAAGTACGGCATTCCATCAAGATGCAAGTCTTACTTCCTTACTTTCTCAAACCTGAAACACTTCAGCTGTTCAGTAAACATTTCTTTCTTTTTATAGCAACGTTCATATTTCAAACAAAGCAGCCTGTTTTCTATTCAATGAACTATCTGTGTGGATTATCAAAATACACGAAAATAGGAGGCAACTATTGTGATAGAGTGAATGGGACTCTTGGAAATTTGTGGTGTAAGAGAAAACTAGGGCAGATTATTGAGAGGACCAGAAATTATATGGATCCTTAGAACAGCTAGTAAGGAGGTCGATGGCATTGCAAAAAGATGGGCATCCAGTCTCGTGTCTTTTAGAGAACACTTTCTCCTTGAAATTAGTGGGAATTTGGGAAACCTTGGTTGAAAGAGAATTCCTTTCAGGAGTTCTCAATTTTTAGTTCATTATTTTATATTTTACTTATACTAAGGAATCATCATCCTTGTTTCATTTTCATTTTTTTCTTCTCTTGTAATTAAATTACGGTTTCCTATCAGTAAAACACGAGCAAAGTCCATTGCTCAATACAATGGTAAAATCTTGGGCTAAAAAGGCTTATTGCATATGAGGGCAGACACTTCATACTAAAAATGGTACCTAGTTCACCTCTCCCACGACCCTGCATGGACAAGACAAACACTCGGTATTGGCCTTTGAAATAAATAAGCAAACAAAATAACCATATGAGTTTTGTAAAACATATTAATATTTTTATTTTATTTTTTTGATAAGTAAGTAAAACATATTAAAATGAACATCATAAAAACATAACAAGCAGTAAGCTAACACATGAAAAATCCTAGAGTACATTCTGATCATGAGATAATGCTATTTGAAGGGGGGGAAAGATAGAAAGGAGGACCCAACCTCACCTCCTCTGAAGATGTTGGTTTCAAGAAACCTGTGGCAGGTTGACTAAGAGGTGGTTGCCCGAAAACTGGTTTCGGCAGATCATAGTCAATTTTTTCTTCTTTTGTAGATGAGCCCGAAAACCATCCTTCTATAATATTTTCACCATGGGTTGCATCCTTATCAATCTTCCGTCTTCTTCTACCTCCAAATTTTTTCATTTTTTTATCTGCAACCCAGAGCTGTACTAGAAAATTTCTATCCAAGTTTGGATCATTTTGTGTGCCTTGACCAAATTGACGAGATATGGTCATTGCATATTGTTTTGGCCCGAATACGTTTCCTTTCAAACGATATGGCAATTTAAATTTGCAAAACATACTTTTTGCTAAGATCATTGTTTCTTGAAGATTCATATATTTAGAACCCAAACCAGATCGCTGAAATGATGTTGCAATTGCACATCCTCTTTCTTGTTGCAAACGGGTTATGATACTTCCAGAATCAAGAACACCATGTTGATGCTCATTCACAATAGAATACTGTAATGCACCACATTTGAAAATCTCTCCAGGGGATTTAGGACAGTTGGTGAAACAACGCAAACCCTTTAACCAATTCATGTAACCAAGATTCAAAAGTGCCTGAGACAAGCAATGATAGATTACCATAAAGTTACACATGTTCTAAGCTAAAACAAAAGCGTAGAAAATAAAAATTAAAAAATAAAAAAAATTGATTATCAAACTTTAGAGGGAAAAAAAAAAAAAAAAAAATTCCCGAGTAAAACTTATCAGCATATAAGAATCGACTCAGCATTAACAAGATAGCTTGAAACCCTAGAAATCAATTGGAACGGTTGAAACATAATCCAAAATACATACATATACACACACTCCACATGTATGTTATAAGTTTCTGCTGAAGAATTTTTTTTTAATCAGAAATAAAATGCATGAAAAGGGGAACAACAAAAGCACCTGGAAAACTTATCAGCATATAAGAATCGACTCAGCATTTTCAAGATTGCTTTGAAACCCTAGAAATCAATTGGAAAGGTTGAGACATAATCCAATATACATACACACACTCCACATGTATGTTATAAGTTTCTGCTGAAGATTTTTTTTTTTTTTCATCAGAAATAAAATGCATGAAAAGGGGAACAACAAAAGCACCTGGAAAACTTATCAGCATATAAGAATCGACTCAGCATTTTCAAGATTGCTTTGAAACCCTAGAAATCAATTGGAACGGCTGAAACATAATCCAATATATATACACACTTGTACAGGTGATACGAGTTTTATTGAGGAAAAAAATTCATCCAAAAGAAAATGCAACAAAAAAGAGAACGAAATAATCACCTAAAATGTTTAGTGCTATTTGGCAGAGACAAATCGGATCTTCGAAAGTGTGATTCCGTTCTTTCTTCGCTATTCCAGACTTCGGTAGAATCGGTACCTAAAAACCCAGTAGATACCCCTTGCCAAGATTGGATTTAACCATTTCTTTTTTATTACACTTCACTTTTTCACTTGCACTTTGTTTTTTTTAACCCAAAAAAAAAAAAAAGTAATAATTTTAAAAAATATACTCTTACACTTGCACTTTTGTATTATTTAAAAATAAATTATAACTCTTTCGACCTCGATTGTCAGCTCTTCCTTCTAATAGACCGTGGTTGGATCACATTGAAATTCTTAAAAAACAATTCATAAACATCTCTTTTTCTTCAACTCATTCCCAATCACATTATATTCGGATGAAAAATCGACTATTGAGATTAGAAGACTTATCACTTCACTTATTTAAATTAATGTAGTAATATGAATTTGATTAGGAGGGTTTAGAAAATTTATTAAATATTTGAATAAAATCAATTTACGGAGTACAATATTAGAAAATCAATTCGGAGGTTTTGTAATATTGTACAATATTACAATAAGGCTTCTTTTGATTGAAGGATTTAAGTGAATATACAAATTCAATTTTTTTTTTTTAAATATTTGTATTAAGAGTTAATAATTTAAAATTCCAAATTTATAATAGGCAAAGATGATAATAAATAAAGTGTCTACCAGACTACCACACGTCTAATTTTAATATTCCTTGGAATTTTATGATCGAATTTCAATAACTAATCTTGAAACTATATATTTTCATTTTAAGTCTACTATGTAAGATTTCAAATTTTTTCATGAATATTTGTTTTATTGGATCTGTTATATGATTTTTTAAAATAAATTGATGATGGTGTTGAATGTGCAAAAAACTATCTCTATTAGGATAATTATTTTTTACACTTCAATCAAATCATTTATCTTTTTCTCTTATTCTATTTATAGAAGCCTATTCTTACCCTAAAAACCCTTTATTCTTTCTAAACCTTCAAATAATATGGGTTTTATTTCTTCTCAATGAACTTGGTTTTTGTTTCGACCAATTTCTCGGTCAAAACGGACCTTGCTTTTGGTCAAAATAGGCCTTGAATGAGTCAGCGGGCTGAAGGGTTGTTGGGCCTCCCTTTGGACTGATGGGCCGGGCTGGACTCGGCCCAGTGAGATTTTATGTCCCTTCCGGCGTCAAGTTAGAGCACTCCATAATTCATTGGGCACATGGAGTGACAAGTTGTCACCGCAATTCATTGGATAGCCTAGATCTTAAAATTCATTGGTGAGGTTATTTATCGTTTTGTGCAATGTTTTCCCTCGAGTCTCTTAGAATAATTCATAATTTATGGGACACATGCACCGAACAATTACTGAAATAATTTTTCGAAATAGTTAGAAAAAAATTCGAACTCCAGACCTCTAAGATATGTTGTTCTCCTACAGTGGTTATATGATTTATTGACAACTTCCTTTTCAACTTTTTTTCATTTTTTTGGGGAAATAAGATAACAGGAAGAAAATTTACAAGTTTACAAGGAATGAGATAAAATGGGTGTGCAAAATCTTTAAAGAAGAAAAGAAAAAAAGAATGGGTGGACAAATAATGGTATCTAACCTACTATGTACCATTGTGGAATGGAACTCGGCTCAGAGATATTGGAGTCTCTTTTTCTTTTTCTTTTTCCTTTTCCATGTCACAATTGTTGGCGCTTTTTAAGATTTTTGAAATTAAAAATATGAAAATATGTTCCGTAAACAAGTGTTATAAGTTTGAAAAATATAATAATTAGTTTTAAAAAGACATTTAAGAGTTCTTCAAAATATATATATATATTATCGTTCACCGCTATAGCACCAAAAGTTACAATGCGAAAACATATAAAAACATGAAATTAGTGTTTTAATTAAGACAATGCAAAAACATATAAAAACATCAAATTGGTGTTTTAATTTAGGACCATTATTCACACAATGTTTTGGCATTGTGTAAAGCAAAACAGTTTTTACCTAATGCAAACACCAAAAATAAAGCGCATACCAAGCATGCCACAAATAATTGTGTCCAGGTACATGCAACAATTCAATTATCCATCTCACAAATTTGAAAGAGCAAGCTTAGGTCCATTCAATTAACAAACCAGTTTACAAGTGTAATCAATGTTTCATCCACTTAATAGCCAATTAAGACAATACAGTAAGATTCGTCCAGTCACAATCCTCACTAAGATTGTTCAATTTGGTTTCGACAACCTACACAGTTCCCAAATTCACTTGCTAATTACAATTCAGAACCATATAAAAATATATCACAGCAAGAGGCTCACAAAATACATTTTTGCCATAGTATATATAGATATAGATAGATAAATATAAAAAATTCTGGAACAAAGCAGAATGCCACTGAGACTGAACTGCTCCCATCCAACTAAACCACAAACGAAACCCCTATGCATTGAGGAGATGAATCTTCTGAGAAAAATCAGAGTATGAGGTGATACCATAGCCAGAAGGACCATTTATCAAAAGAGATCAAGCGAATTGCCGTCTCATGTATGTATCTTCATGCACAAAAACTGGATCTTGAGCATTCTGTGGCGGAGGGAACTGGGGTTGTGCCATTGCGATGTTGCTTTGGTTAGGAGCAGGAGGTCCACCCCATGGACCATTTACGTTTTTAACGGAAGTCAAGGTGAGATAATAGATGATTCCAAGGATAACACTTGCGAGGGACAAGACCGCAGCTCCTGCAAAGACTCCAGGCTTTACAACATAGCAATAATAGTTGCCTAAGTACGTGTTCTCTTCACCATGTTGATCGTTAAGTGCTGCACCCGTCAACAACAGAAGGAATGCTATAACAAAAGTGAACCTGCATGATGGAATGATTGCACATACTTCATTAATATGAAACACGAAATATCTTTTGTAAAGCTAATTTGAAATAAGTAGATCCTAAGTGGTTGGCTAGCTAACTAGTGCGGAAAAAAATATCTTTTGTAAAGCAAATTTTTTCGTTAGTGGGTCACTAGATCAACCAAGTCTACTGTCTCGAGAAATCAGGCAAAAATATTTTATTTTAAATTTTTAATCACTCGTGCAGCTGAAAACATAAAATCCTGAAGACCAGTGCCCATTCACAATATACAAACAAAGAAAGGAAAAAAAAAAAAGAAAAAAGAAAAAGCAAAGGATTAGTTCAGTGTCTCTCTCCCTTAATTAAAGGTGCTGGGAGGCATGGCCTAGGTACAGATCTAGCCAGCTAACCTTCATTATTATTCACATGACTTCGCTGGTCTTGTCCTTGAACCCGCATTCTAGCCCAAGTTTTTACATGAACCAATGGTTACTTTCCCAGACCATCATGGTTAGAGATTCTTGACCCACATTAGATCCGGACGGGGAGGGAGTGGTACTTATAAGGGCAAGTAGGCAGCTCCACCTAACAACTTAAACTTTTGGGTCGGATGGCAAGCATCCAGTCTGTTACAAACTTACAAGGGGTATCATAGTAGGCCCAATCCATGATCCGGTGTCATGCCAAACGCCCACTCAAGTGGTGTCCGGGACGTGTTGGAGGAACAGGTAGGCAATCCCACATTGGATCCAGATGGGGAGGGTCTTGGGCTTATAAAAGGTGGGTAGGCAACTCCACCTTCTGATTAAGCTGTTGGGTAGGTCTTCCAGAGGTGTAACCTTCGTCTGGTTGAGACCCGTGATAAGGACGGGTAGGCAGTCCCACATTGGATCCAGATGGGGACGGTCTTGGGCTTATAAGGATGGAAATTATCCACTAAAGAAAACAAGAAACCATAAAAATCATATCTTTGCTTGCTTAAGACAGCGTCCATCACAAGTAATTTTTTTTTTTTTGATAAGTAGCGTCCATTACAACTATCCACTAAAGCAAACAAGAAACCATAACTTTGGTTGGTTAGGATTTAAAATATGCTATGTAGTTCACTTCCAGATCTAAGAGTAGAAATGTATCTAACCATGTGATCTTCCTTCATACATCATTATTTCTCCAACCAATACTTGCATGATATTTCAGCTTATTTAACATCTTTGTTATTCCAAAGGTGGACAATATTGATTTGAATTATTATCAATAATCACAACTAATAAATCTGAAGTAAATTGCACAAGCACCATTGATTATGCTAGAAAATATGAGATTACACAAACTAGAAATGCTTTCTGCACATAGGAACAGACAGAAATATTGTGATTTTACATCCTCCCATGAAAGTTGAGATTCTCTTTTGTTTTTTTATACAATGCACCAATTTCATACTGTAAAAATAAAGAAAAAGTGAAAAAAAAAGAACAGATAGTAACATATGTACCTATAAAAAAATAAAAACAGAAAGTAACGCGTGAGTTTTCCTTTTCCTTTCTTTTTTATTTTTATTTTATAGAATTCATCAGATCGAGACCAGGATGTCATCATAAAGCCTCATGTTAATAAAACAGACAAGACACTTGTCGTATATGATTATATGAAGATAAAGGTCTTGTGAGATGATATGTCAGCAGAAGAAGAAAATAGGGGGAAATGTAATATATAGTATATAAACACATACATGCATAAATACATGCATACATATAAGTACATATAAATCTCATTTACTCAATGATCAAAACCCCGGTGCCTTGTTCGAACCGTTTATTGTTAGTGATACCATTCCCATTAAAAGCCAGGTCGTAGGTGAAGCATGCTTCAGAATTTAGACAACAATTGTGGTCTGTTCAGTTAGCCATATTCATCCCATTAATTCAAGAACTCCATGGAATTGGAACATAAGATTTATCACCGAATAATAGTTTAGAATTACCAGGATACAAACTTATCAAAAATAAAAAATAAAAAAGAATTACCAGGATACAACAAAGCAGATCAGTGCCAATGTCCAATTAGAGTTTGATTGACGAGAGCCTCTTCTACAACAGATACACCCAGTTGCAACATTGACAATAATTTGAGCAATCATAAGAGCGACCGCTGCAGTTAATCCAAGGGCAAGAGCTGGACTCCTAGGGTATACACATATAGAAGGAGTGTTAAACTCAACCTGAGAACCCTGCAAAATAAAAACATAAAAACGAATGACTGCTTGAACAATTTAGCATTGTTTTAATTACACAGACCAAAGATCTACCGGTTAAAAAATAAGAGAGATTTATAGTAACAGAATAACTCTGCAGCTGACATAGGAGACCTTAACCTCAATTACGTGACAGACAAGGCAAATATGGATTAATAGTTAATTTCCCTCAAACTGATTGGTTGGTCAATACCACAATAACCTTGTAATTAAAATTAAGGAATAAATCATCTTTTAGAAATGCATTGGTGATAATCTTTACAGTTGAACACCACCACAGAAAGAGAAAGAGAGGTCATTATTGGGCATCTAATGCAGTCACTTGGAATGCTATTTAGCACAGGGATTTGAGATGGGATTTGCAACCGTATAAGCCACTTAAAAAGGAAGGAGTAAGGACATGACACAGCCTTCGTCAAGCATGAGAAAGAATGCATAGAAGAAGCAAAAAAGAATAATAAAAATTGCAACAGGATAGAACATGACACAGCCTGCATGTCGTCCAGGGTATACAATCCACGCACAAATATAATTAAACAAGGGTATTAACGGCTCATTTTATATCATTAACTGCTCTGCACATGTAAATATTTTGGAGATGATTTAAATTGAGGAAAAAGAAAGAATTTGTAGCTGATGGATATAAACGTCTTTGATGGGATAACCATGAATAGGACATTCTTCAAGTCTTTGATTAATGAACAAATTACAAGATAAAACAAGGTCAGAAAAAATCTGATCATCAAATATTGTCCTAAAAAGAACTTAAAGACTAATTAAGATTCCACAAGTTTCATTGTACCAAGAGACAGAGAGTGAGAGTATACGTGATTTTTTAAATCTGGAGACATATCCCATGGCTAGAACTACAGTTCATTTGGGGAATTTTGACCAATACAAAATTAATTATTTTCCCTCTCAAGGAGGGCACGCATTATAAATAGAAAAGGCAGCTGGTACAGAATATCTGGTAGAAAATTGTAATACCCCTAATTTTAAAAGGATAGTCTCGGTATTTATTTATTTATTTTTATTGTATTTTTTTAATTGTTTAATTGATTATTTGACTAATTGTTTATGTGTTTAATTGAATTAAGTATTACTTGATTAATTGGCTACTTATCTATGTGTTATTTGTATTTTGTCTAGGTGTTATTTGTATTATTTGTTTAATTAGATTCTGTGCTTAAATGATGTATTTGATTAATTGTAAATTAAATGATTAAATGTTTTATTTTATTTTATTTTATGGTTATGGTTAGTGGTAATGGGCTAACTAATTGGGTCCCATGAACTACTTGGATAGGAGGTTGGATGGGTATGGATAGTTGTATATGTATATATATAGATATATATGTATAAAAAGGAAAGTAATTTATTAATATTATAGTAACTTTAGTATTAATAAATAATCTGATGTATATATTTTATATATTTATATAATAAGGATATACATATATTTTATACGTAACATGTTTTAAGTTACCTTTTTAACATTATGGTAACTTTAGTATAAATAAATAATCTTATGTATATATTTTATTTATTTAACGAGGATACAGATAGATTATATACGTAACATGTTTTAAGTTACTTTTTAATATTATGGTAACTTTAGTATAAATAAATAATCTGATGTATATATTTTATTTATTTAATAAGGATATAGATAGATTATATACGTAACATGTTTTAAGTTACCTTTTAATATTATGGTAACTTTAGTATTAATAAATAATCTGATGTATATATTTAATTTAATTAATAAGGATATACATAGATTCTATACATAACATATTTTAAGTTACCTTTTTAATATTTTCATTTTTTTAATTTTTCTTTATTAAGTTGACTTGAATTGGAAAAAGGAATAGGGTTATTATTTAGCCTATAAATACACAACTATAGGTTGAAAAAGGAGTGAAAATATATCACGTAATATATTCTAGAGAGAGAGAGTTAGAGAGAGAAGGAGAAAGAGGAAGGAATGAGGAGAAACCCCTCTAGAGAGAAGATCAAGGAAGAAGAAGTTTAACTTTTAGTCCGAAAGTTTAAAGCAAGTTCTTCTTCTATCTCTTTCCCTTTGATTCGTGTTTCTGTACATGCCTAAGAAATTCCAGAATTTATTAAACACATAAAATTAAATAATTATGCATGTTTAATTGGGTTAGAACATAGGTTTTATGAAATTGGTTCATATCTGTTCTTGTGTTATGAATTGATAAAATGCATGATTTTGATTTGATTTCTTATGTGAATTTTTACATGTTTAAATTATGTATTTTTCATATCTGTAGAATGATGGAACGTAGAAACATGCCTAGGATTCCTGAACATTAAATAGGGACTAGGTTTGGGTTTTAATAAATTTAAATAGACTCAATCATAATGATGCTTGCTATTTGAATGTTTTAAACAAACGAATGGATTTAATCTTTTAAAATATTTTAGCAATTGAGATTAAATGTGTAGGATGAATTGGATATAGAGAATCCTTATTTAACGGTATAATAAAATATCATCATGTATAAGATTCAGTTTGTGTAGGACATATGATATAGGAAGTTTAAAGAAATAATAAGTTATTCCTATTATGTGATAACTTGATATCATATTTATCATAATTATTTATGGAATGTTTGATGTATTTCCTTAATTGTTACATCAATTGTTGGATTGTGTGGTTTAATGCACCGGTATGGGACGGTGGCATTCTAGGGATGGATTAACTTATCAGTTAAGTCCTACCTATTTTATATAAGGGAATGGATTAACTAAAATGTTAAGTCCTACTTATATTTAAGTCAGGTCAGCTGAACAAGTTGAATGACTTATGGAGGATTAATTTATTATATAAGGGAATGGATTAACTAAAATGTTAAGTCCTACTTATATTTAAGTCAGGTCAGCTGAACAAGTTGAATGACTTATGGAGAATTAATTTATTATATAAGGGAATGGATTAACAGAAATGTTAAGTCCTACTTATATTCAAGTCAGGTTAGCTGAACAAGTTAAATGACTTATGGAAGATTAATTTATACTGAATAGGATGGTTACTAGATTATATATATATAAGTATGGTGCCATGATATGAGCTTGAGTCTCAGGATCAGTGGTTAGGGTGCGTATATCGCCAGGGATGTGTAGCTAGATATAGTGTAGTTGTGTACCCTGGTAGGTCTAGGTACTCATGCCCACTATATGTGCGTTTTGCATGTTGCCTACTATTCAGGTTGAGACAACCCTATAGTCTAGTGAGGTTCCTTTAGTGTGTGTATATATATATATACGGACTACTAGTTACTGTTGGATTGACTAGGATGTATACGTGTATCGGATCTCTGCTTGGACTGTAGTAGAGTAAAACTTGTTTGTGGGCCTGACCCACCATTATTTTTCAGGTGTTCGTCAGGAGTAGAGGTTATTCGTGCTAAGCGGGGATCAGTCTACTTTATTCTTCCGATGCTACATAGGAGTTCCTTTATGATTCAGTTTCCTGATTTAGACAGTTATTGCTTTCATTTGTTTAGTTTGATTTTCTAGGGGTTCACACAGTATGGATTCCCGAGTTGTATTTTGGAGGATCAGTTGTATCAGAAGAGTTTATTAATTAATGGAAATATATTCTGAGGTTTATTATTAGATTATCATTTTAGTTTCTTGTCAGCATTCTATTTATTCTTCTTTATTCTTTTGTACTCTGTGTTCGTTTATTATCAATTTGTTTTGATATCCTCGGGTATTCGGGCGTGGGACTGGCCAACCCGCATTCAAAAATCCGGGGGGTATCACAAAAATGCCCCTTGGGGTTTCGAGTTTCATCACTAGACCATACCTCCGGACAGAAAACTAGGGTGACATGGCTGTGTTTATATGGTAGCAGATGTAATAGATAATTATGTATAATAAAAGTAGCTGATGTCAAGCACAAAATGATGCGAAAGGTGTTGAGACAGCAGAAATGCATATGCATAGAGATTCAATAACAGAAAATACACAATATTACACAAACACATAAGTTAATGTGGATAGATTACATCCATGGATGAGAAGAAATGTTCCACTATAATTTTGTAGATGGATTACATCGGTGAAGAATACCTAACACTAAACTGTGTACATAAACTCCTGCTTTGGGGTAAGTGCAGCTAATACCCGATCCTTTGTACTTTGTAGTATACTACTCCACAAGACTCCCTTCTTGCCATTGGTGTTCTATCCACTCTACCAACCATTAACAATATCTCTTTGGGTCATGTGAGGTATAGGATCCTGAGACCCTTCAAAACTCATCTGCCTCATGAGTTGATTCTCTTACATCTCTCTCATTCTCATAAGTCCCAGCCGATGACCTAGGTATCTATTTATAAAGTCCTTAACCCAATTCCTCGTTGACAAGCCAACAAGGATTGCAATTCATTGGAGTCCAGGTATACTCAGACAAGAATTTTTCCAACAACTCTAAATTAGAAATCTAATCAGAACAAGAATTTGAGACACAATTCCAAACAAAATGCCAATAAGTAAATAAAATTTGAGGTTAGACAAGACAACAATAGTTCTTACAGTGTTCAGCATAACCAAGGAGGTCGTGCGAAGAGTTCTTGGGGAAATATTGCACTGAATAGAGAATATTGCAAGACGTTGCTATAAAGAATCCATAAGGCAGGGAATTTATAGATGAAAAACATCCTTAAAAAAAAATATAGAAAAGGAACCATTCCATGAAATGTACCATGCATCAATAAGATGACTGTTGACAATATGAAAATGTGTTCTGGTGAGAATATGAAAATTAATGCCAACAAGTCAAATATTAGTGAGAAGTTCACCTAGTAAACTCTACAGACCCCATTAGGATCGCATAAAAAAATAATAACTCCAGACATAAATATCAATCAATATAGTAAAGTTGAAAGTTTTGAGTAACCATAAGGTTTACTGGCACACAGAGAAAAAAGAAAAAGAAAAAATCAAAGAAAGAAAAATCAAAGGGATGTCAAATCCAAAAAATTATTTGATAGCGGATGGTGATGAAACATAAAATGGGACACTGGACACAAATACCAAAAAATTATTTAGAACCATTATGCATAGACAACTGCAAAAAGTGATTGCTCAATTTTAACAATAATAGCTTTTGCACAGTAGTAATAACATTTTAGACTACTAGCGATGTGGCAAGCACAAATTTGAGTGCTTTAGCTACGCAACCTTGCCCACACCCAACACCTGCCCAAACTTACCATCAGTATGTAGAAGGCGAGGTTTTTTTCTTAAAAAAAAAAAAAAAGAAAAGAAAAGAAAGAGTACAAGGTGAGGTTTGTTGACAGCATGTGTCCACAAATTTGAGCTCTCAATTACATGCACAAGTAGAGAGCAAAGTACATCATGGTGAAAGTACAAAGACATTGAGTAGCTAAAGGCTGCAACCATTTCCTAACCAAAATTGTGCTCTATATATTATGCATGAAAGCTCAAGTTCTACTAAGTAGACACATAGTTATTACCAAAGAAAAATAACCATCCTATAATGCAAATGAGGAAGACTTCACCATTGGTGTATACAACATAAAAGGCACTCAACTTCCCAAACAAAACCGTAACTTCATGGATTGGTCGATTTTCATTTATAACTTATAGCAAATGCTAGGGAAAAATGTACAGATCCCATTCAGTAACACTAGCAATGCAGGAAGCGATGCTTCAATCTTCATATGGACATGGAAAATGGGTTTTCAGTAATTGTGTTTCTATTCAAAACCACTGGTAGAACATGACTATAGTAACATCCTAGCTCTGATTTTCTTAATCAGTAACAGATTTTTTTTTTTTTTATTCTTCCTGATAAGTAATATATGCATTAGAAGAAGCGTTCAAAAGGGAACGCATCCCTCAAAAGCTACACAAGACCAAATAGGGCCTCTAAACTTTGAAGGAGTTCAAAAGATCAATAATCTCCTCCAGAGATTTACAATTTTTCCCTAGAACCCAACAAAAAAGGTACTAACGATGGAAAACTTCAATGTCCCTATAGGAGTCTCCTTTCCTTCAAATGATCTCCTATTTCTTCCAAGCCAAAAACACCACCAGCCGCAGAATGGCGCAACCCTCCAAAAATCATGGACTTGGACCCCCACTGTACAACCTCTCCAAGCCTCTGGATGACCTGGGCATAACCCACTGAACCTCAAACAAACCGAGCATCAGACGCTGATCCCCAGGCATCAGTAGCAGATTTAAGATAACAATCAGAAGCTAAAACACCCCTTAACTAAAAAACTGTTGATGAATAGGGAATGGTATACACTGCAAACTCCATATTAATCCTAATAATACAATATCTAAAATGATTTGGTGGTGTGCATATTTTTCTGTAAGTAGTTTAATTTTATGCATCGTCAGATAAGGAATCTGATGGACTAACAATGCTACAATCCAAGTGAATTTTTTATCCAACCCATTTTTTCAATAGTACGTCTTTCCTGGAAATTTTCTCCATAAATAAATAAATGAAATGAAATGAAATTAATAAATACTCAAAGGCCCTCTATCTTGATCACCTTTTCTCCCACGAAAATATCATTTTACATCCAAAATTTCTCTAGTTTCTCACGAAAATATACTTTAGATAGAATTTCCCAGAAAACAAATACAGTACAAACTAGGCGTGTCGATGTGAATCTATTTTTCTAACAAAGAAACAAATCCTCCTTCTGTAAACATCCAGTGATTCCTCTTAAATAAACATAGCAATAATCAACAACATAAGGTATCAAAGCCAGAGTCCAGAAGAGCAAGATATTAATTGAAAGGCATTTTTTTTTTTTTTTTTTTGATAAGTAATTGAAAGGCAAATGTATATATACATGTATATATTCCAAATAAAAACATTCCAAACGAAGATCTAAATCCACTTCTGCGAGTCCACATCTATGGACATAAATACAAATATAGATATATGCGTATACATATAGCTCTCTATATATGTGTGTGTGTAATTACCTTTATCCTCTTGGCTTCTGCAGCAAAACCCAAAGCAGCAGATAATAGCCCTAGAAACCCCACGACTGCACAAATCACTATGGACTTTCTCTCCATTTCCCCTCCTCTCTCTCTTCTCCTCCAAATCTCTCTCTTTCTCTCAATTGCCTCTTTGTGCGTTCAGAATGGAAAGTTCAATAATTTATTACAACTTCAAAAGGAGAAAGAGAGTTTATGCGTTTTCAGGGGAAACAACCGTAAAGGTGAATTTATATGGACGAGACTGTGTGTCCCCACTGAAAATTGCTTTTCGCCTTCGGTACCTGAAATGATGAGGGCAAAAACGGAAAAAGGAAAAGGCGGCAATTTTTTTATCATTTTACTAGAGCCAACAGCCAACAGTCCATCTACCTATACCCGACCCATACCATTATTCTTATTTTGGTGACTCAAATCCTCTTGTGAAGCTATTCTTTGTATTTAAATTTATAAGAAAAGTTTGTCGAAAAAATTCCTAAATAGTTTCTTATGTTGTCTCTGGAATGAGAAAAGAGGAACCAAAAAAAAAAAGAATTAGGGAAAACTTTAAAAAATCCGTTTACTTCCTTTTTTTTTCATTTTCCCTCTTCTATTCTACCCAAATTAATGAAAATAAGTATTTTTATTTCACATCATTTCGTTACCTTAGGCTTAGTTTGTTTGAATGTAATATTTGGTAATACTAATATTAATTTTTCTTTTTTTTTTTATTCTTTTTATTGCAAGACATTTTCCCTTATTAGTTGCATGGAATTAGAGTTTTGAAAATTAACTAAGAAAATTTATTTTATTTTGCCGATTTCAATTGTAATACTCTAATTCCATGTAGCATAACACAATATTCAATAATTTTTAAACCTAAATCTGACCATTACAAAAAATTATGGAGTATCATTTTTATTTGAATTAAATTATGTATAAAATCAGATATAGTGATTAATATACAAATGATGCCATGGTATATATATGGGTTGAGTGCAAAAAAAAAATCATCTACCATCGATATAGTGCGAAACAGTCACGGTGTGATATAAAATTCCCATATACTATCAGTTTGGTGCAATTACCCCCCTATTCACATAAAAAGACATTAATACCCTCTCTAATATAAATTTCCGAGTTAAGTGCAAAAATTCCCCTTGATATATAGGGTTTGTGCAGAAATAGTCCCTACTTTTTGAAATTGTGTATTTTAGTTCATAAAATTCAAAACAGCTGCAAATAAGCCATTTGACCACTTTTTCATCAAAATTGACATAAAATAAATTCAAAAAAAATAAAAAAAATACATGACATTTTATTCTCATTTGAAAAAACATATACTATATATATACAATATATATGTAAATATATATTTTCTTTTTCCTAGAAAAAAAAAATATATATATATATATATATATACACAATACCATAATTTCCTCTTAAAAGAATCCATAGTAGAGCAAGCCGATGAGTATTTGTATGAAAAAAGTAGTTTCACTGCCCTCGAGTTGAAGAAAGTAGGAAGCACAACACCCTTTTAGGTCCCCTAAAAACATAAAGTGAGCAAATGCATGCAATTTTGAAATTAGAGTGATTATAATTTCCAAAAATAAAGAACTATCATCCTTGAAATTTATCATAATTACTGTATAAACCAAATGCATTATTTGTTGGAAAATTATCAATTAGTTTAACTAATTTACAGTGGGTAAAAAGAAAAAAATCCATTTTACTGTAATAATCAAGAGGTATAAATTTCTATTTTTTAGTATATCTTTAATTTAGTTTAGAATTCATTAGTAATTAATTTTTTTTCAGTTTTGTCATTACTTATTGAATATCTTAAATATATTTATTTTAAGGTTAATGATATTAATTGGATAATATTAAATTTTGTAACTATTAGTATAAAATTTATGTGAAAAAAAAATTCAAAAATAAAAGTTAATGGTCTTAAATTAATCAGTATTTTTGGAATTTTTAGGCTCAGTCTGGTTAAATGAAAATTAGTAGTGGTTATATTCTATATTTGTTTAGCATGAATTTTTTACATTGCCTAATTTTTTTAATATTATTTCATTTATATTAGAGAGGGTATTAATGTTTTTTTATGCAAATATGGGGTAATTAGACCAAATTAATAGTACATGGGGTTTTATACACACGAGGACTGTTTTGCTCTATGTCGATAGTAGAATGGGGGTTTTTGTACTTAACCCAATGACAAAATAGGGTTTTTGAATTTATTTTATGTCAATTTTGATTAAAGAGTGATGAAATGACTTATTTATGCATTTTTTGAATTTTATGAACTGAAATGCACAATTTCAAAAAGTAAAAATTATTTATGCACAAATCCTATATATTAGAGAGTGTTTTGCACTTAACTCTCTCTCTCTCTCTCATATATATATATATATATATATATATATATATATAGATGAAAAGGTTTGGAAATTGCAGATCGACAAAATGAAGTCACGAGAAAACCCAAATCCAATTTATGGTAGGTAACAACAACCTACCTACCTAGTAGAATGGCCAAGATTCTCTGTGTCTCTTTCTCTCCTATATAATATCAGCAACTTGCAGGAATTTGACTTTATATATATAGCTGGTACTGTTAATCTCATGCGTATATAAACCATATGACAAAAATTATGGACCTTCTTAATTAATTCTTTAATTATTGTTGACCCAAGTCTCAATAATTCCAGGTTTCGTTTGGATGTTTTCATTTTTCTTCATTCATTCTTGATAGTTGACCCAGAAATTCAATGTTTCTTTGGATGTTTTCATTTCTTAAACATAGTTTAAGGACAATTACGAATATGTTTTAATTCCCACATATTACAATATTATTTTACACCTACTCACATCTCATAAACATTCTAGGTGTAACAAACAAGAGCAACAAACACAATCTGATTTTACAACAATATTTGTTGTCGTGTAATAAGTTAATCTCCAAATTTGTCTAACAAATGGAGGGATAAGAGAGAGAAAGAGTATTACAAGAAGATACGAGAAAGCACAACAATGCACCAAGTTGCAGTTAACATCAAGGAATTAAATTGTGATTCTAAAATATGGTTAAAGAACAAAAATGTAAAACACTCGGACTCTGTTTGTTTGGATATAAAATATTTACGATAAAAAAAATATATTAAAATTTAACAAAAATAATTTATTTATTAATTTTCGATAAGTTAATTTACATGTCCCGTCTGATGGACTCGATTTTAATTTTGACGTAGATATTTGCCAAATACCGAAAAAAATAAAAATAAAACAATATTTTACCTAAAAAAAATATTAAAAATATATATATATTTTACTTCGAAACAAACGGAGCCCAATGATAAAATGTCATGTCTTTTTTTTATGTCGTGGTAAAATTATTGTTAGACATTTTATCATCGAGCTCTGTTTGTTTCGAAATAAAATATTTTTTTTTGAAAATATATTTTTATTTTTTTCTCTTTTATATCCAAACAATTGTAAAATTTTATAATACAAGATGGACCATGTCATGTCAAATGTGTCTGGACAATTTTTTTTTTTTCAATTTTTATTTGGGGTTGTAGAAGAGCCATTTTAAATTTTGAAACTTTTTTTTGGAGTTCAAAAGGGACTCATATTGAGTTGACTTCGGGGCCGTAAATTTCATCATTTTTAGAAGAGCCATTTAACAATTATCCTATTTTAGTGATGAAATTCGTATCCTTAATTTTTGGTGATTTTAAAATATAGTGCCAAATTGAGTAATTTTGAGGGTGCTCCACCATTACAGATAGTTATAGTTGTATATATATATAAAAAAAAATTTACACCACAATAATATTTCAATTTTCTGTGCATCTTGATTCACGTAATTTGTTTAATAAATGAATAACCCACTAATACAACAACAATAATCAAGCATTTTTAAATTAATTTTTTTCGCATTTTATCTTTTACTCCAACTACCTCTCAAATATGATTATTTTTAATTATATACTTTCTAGTCTTATGATACCATCTCAACAATTGTATTTATATTCCCACTTAATTTATGCAAAATATTGTTTTATAACCATCAATTTTCGAACTTAAAAAAAGAAAAACTATCAATATTTTATCTGTAAAAGTGTGATTGATTTAGTAGTTATTCCACAAAATGACACAACACAATAAGAAAAGTTTAAATAAAATTCTTATTATCATGACCATCTCATACATAAATACGACATATTTACTTAAATAAGTCTAATCAAATAATAAGATATCGGAAAAAATTAAACCCAACACATTTGATTAACATACCAATTTAAATCGATCCCGTCAAACTATTGTCACCCCACAGTCCACCGAGTTTGAATCGGCTTACTTGAGTCCATACCCGAATGCGCCTGAGCGTTAGGGATAAGTAAGCCTACTGGCTCTAGGTTGTACACGTGTCAGCATCTGAACTGAGAACACCAATGTAGAGACAGCTGGCGTTGTATTTAAAAAAAGCATAACAGACCTCGTACAATCACACTATATTATTGGTTGATTCCGAAAAAGTGAACACGCAATTTTGTCTCCTTCTGACTTTGTTCGATGCCCACCAATAATCACTCGAAACGTGGAAAACCCTATAGTTTTACCAACCAATATCGTCTACTCTCACACAGCACTCACCAATCAACAAATGACGACCATTGTTAGTCCTGCTTTGCTCCGTAGTAGACTCGAGACTCCGTTCCTCAAATCTCTCTTTAACCCAAACCCTAAAATTATCCACAAAAGACAAACCCTAATCAGAAACTTTTCATTGATCTCTAAAATGGAGGAAAGCAGTGTGCTTGCTAATGGTGGAGGTTCGAGCTCTGCTAATTATGTTACCACCCTGTCCAATGGAGGAGATGAGGACAGTCACCATGTGGCTCACTTCGCTTTGTCTCCCTCAAGCGTCCTCAAAATCCAGAAAGGAGACATCACAGAGTGGATCGTCGATGGCTCTTCCGATGCCATTGTAAGTCCTTCTACCTCTTCTTTTAGCGGATCTATAGAGTACTCTATACATATATTAACACATCAAAGGCAGTCTGAGAATCCCGTCGCTTTAGGGTTCGGAGAGAATTAGATGTAAAAGACAGTATGCCCTTTTGAACCCGAACTCCGTTTCATAATATAGGGAGTGTATTTATACCGTTATGTACCCTGGATCGTATAAAAAAGGCTACCCAGGCTCTTTTTTCGTGCGGGGCACTCAACTCTCTACTAAGTACTAACTAGGTAATGATAGAGGATTAAGCTTATTTTACCTCCGTGTGGAGAGATTATTTTTAATTTTGAGACCGGGACCTTCTAATCGTATCGGATCAACTCTACTATTACACCAAGGCCCACTTTCAGGACCCACCCTTATATATAAACACATAAAATTGTACAAAAATTCAAACAATTCATCTTTCTTAGGTCGATCATGATGGATTTTATTGTGAATTTTGGTGCTATTTAATAATTATTGAGTACTGATGGATAACCAGAAGCTTATTATCCAGAAGCTTGTTATCGTAAATATGGTTACATTTTAATCAAGTAAAGCTATAAGAAGAATCATTGGTTTAGGGCCCGTTTGGTATGTGTTTTGTTTTAGGCATTTTATTTTTTGCTAAAACAGTAACAGTGTTTTTGCCATAGTATTGTTTTGGAAAAAAATCGGAAGTACGTTTGGGAATGATATTTTGTTGTGGAAATGTTGTCAAAATAGTTACGTTATAGTTTTGGGCCATGAGCCATTGTCAAAACAAGAAAAAACAATTATTTGGTGTTTTGGTTTTGGGCCACTGTTCACGAAGTGTTTTAGCATCATGTAAAATAAAATAAGGCTGCACAAAACATGCTTTTGTTGTCAAAATTGACACTGTAGCAGCCCAAAAACAAAAACAGCAGAAACAAAACGCGTGTCAAATGTAGCCATAGGTAATTTGTATCGGAGTGTTATATATATATATATATATATATATATATATATATATATATTCCTTTCTTGATTGATGCTTTATGTGATATGGTCGTATTGACATGGGGATTTTTATTTTTTGTTTTTGGAAATGATGTCTATGAGTTGCATTTATGCATATGTCAAGCAAAAATTCACACAAAGCAGTCTAATTTTGTCAAACACCACAGTGACGAGTAATTGTGAGGCTTGCATGATTTTAATCTTTGCAATTATATATATATATTGACAAACAACGTATCACTCATGGCGGGATGTTGATTTGAATTAAATATTAACTAGGTAATTATGAAATGAGATTTGATTTTGAACATTGTTAATGATGACTAATTAACTTTATATTTTCTATATATGTCAACCAACCAAGCACAAAACACACGAGGCCATTGATTGATTAAGGGCCGTTTGGATGTTTCTTGGAAATTTAATTGCCCCATTTTTTTTCATTAAAAAATTAATAATATACATATCTATTTCCACGAGTGTTTGTGAAAATGGTGACACACATCATTAAAAAAAGTGATTTCCTTTTAAAAGTGATCGATGATATGTCGTTAGTTGTAGTGCTGGCTCCCATTTTCTGTAAAGTGGTATCCTTTTGGATGATAGATTTTGTACCTTTAGAAAACTATATAGTGTATAAAAACACAATGAAGCCATTTCATTTCAGAAAAAATGCACCCTAAATAAATTTTGCAATTATTAGTTGATGTCATTGTTTGGAATTTCAAATTATCTAATAAGAGTGCATTTAGAAAACTGAATATAGATTTGCGATTTGAAATCACAAATTGCAGTTGGGATGGATTTAATAGCACCTTTTAGCTGTTAAATCTACTGATTTAGAGGTTAAATTTTATCCGATGATTCGGAAAAAACCAATTCAGTAATGTAAAAGTCTAAACAATGAATTTGCTGAATATAACTTTTAAATGTGTTTTCTTATACTTGGATGAGTACTTTGCACAGGTCAATCCAGCAAATGAGCGAATGCTTGGAGGTGGTGGGGCTGATGGAGGTACATATTTATTATTATTATTATTTTTTTTCCACATATTTCTGATAAAAATGTTTCCAATGAACACTACCACAAGTATGGATGTCTTTTGTCAGCCATACATAGAGCTGCTGGTCCAGAACTTCAAGCTGCATGCTATAATGTCCCAGAAGTCAGACGTGGAGTTCGCTGCCCCACCGGAGAAGCCAGGATTACTCCGTACGGTTTTTTTTTTTTTTTTCCAAGAAGAAACTCACACTCATGTTATCCTTACGAGGACTTTAAAGCTTGTTTGGTTTGTAATTCTGGAAATACTTTTCTGTTTCTCTAAAAACAGTAAATTGTATAAAAAAACACTGCCATTTTTTGAAAACTCGGGTATAAAAATGTATGTTTTCATAGAACTATTTATAGTTTTCTGAAAACAGTTTTTTTTTTTTGTCCGAGTTCTTGGGAATTGTTTTCAGAGTTATAACCAAGTAAACCCTAAACCCACGACTTCCTATTTGAAAGGTGAGAAAATACATAGCACATTTACTAACAAGTTTGACATTTGCAGGGGATTTGGATTACCTGCATCTCATGTAATTCACACTGTAGGGCCCATATATGATGTTGATAGTAACCCCGAGGCCTCTCTGACAAGTGCATACAGGTACATTATTAAGTTTCTTGCTGGTCTTCATGTTAAAAAGTTTGATTTATCATGTCCTAACAAGAGCCCTTTTTGTTACAGAAACAGTTTACGAGTTGCCAAAGAAAACAACATTCAATATATTGCATTCACTGCTATATCGTGTGGTGTCTACGGGTAAGTAAAGAACCATCAGTTGCTCTGAGATGGCAATACCAATCAAATGCAAAAAAACTTGTGAAATTTCTGTCGCCTTTCTCAAATCTCGAGATAATTTCTTTAATTAGCTCAATGTTATCAAAAGTCCAAGGCACTAGAGGTCTTCTAGAGCCTAGGCGCGAGGCGAGACTATTAAAGAATTCAAATTCCATATTAAAGGCACAAATAATGTCAAATGCGCACTTGGGCACACTACAGGAGTTAGTCTTGCGCCTATATAATCCTGGAGCCTAGGCGTGCGGCGCGCCTTTGACAACATTGAATCAGCTGGATTGAGATGTAGACATTTTAGTAACTTGGACTCGTACAGTAATTCATTGGATGATTCTTTTTGTATAAATCCATCTTTTGATAGCACAAGTAGCAATTAATGTACCGAGTCTTTTCTGTATTTGTTGTTGATGGAGAGCGTAACCCTGAATCTTTCATTTCATATTCAAATTTTATTTCAGATATCCTTATGGTGAAGCTGCTACTGTGGCTATATCTTCAATCAGAGAGTTTGCAAATGACTTCAAAGAGGTATGTATGTAAATTCTTGGATTTCTTCATCAAATGATTGCAATTTGCATTGTGAAATACTTCAAATGAATAGCATAAACCATTTTATTTTACTAGTGAATACTAATTTGAATATATATATATACTTTTTAAACTTTATGCAATGGTTGCAGGTCCACTTTGTTCTGTTCTCGGATGATATCTACAATGTTTGGTTGAACAAGACGAAAGAGTTGCTCCAAAATTAGCCCATGTGTAGAATCATGGCTACTTCTCTAGTATGTACGGGTGATGCAGAAAGCATTAGATGGAAGTATAAATGGCATGTTGATATCTCTCTATGTGAAACTGCTAGTGGCTCCACAAAACTAATAATATAGGTGTTGACCTCTGTATTAAAGATCACAATAATAGTATTATTTGTTTTACATGTTTAGGCAGTAGGTTCCTTCCTGTGTATGTTTGCTTATTCTTGATGCTTGTACCCCACAGAGAAGATGAATAAATAAAAAAATAAAATGATAAATAAAAGACAAAATGATACTCACTCCCCTCTTTTAATACTCTTATGTAGTTTCTTTACAAAAACGATGTCACAGTTGTGTCCTTTCAAAAGGAAATATTCTTATTACTTTAGATTTGAAGGGTAATTTTGTCATTCCATTTTTAAAAATCATATGGGAGCATAAAAGTATAAAAATGGTGTGCGAATGTCAGTCCAAGCCTTTTCTGTTCTTTTTTTCTTTTTTAAAATCTTGGCATACGAAGGGAAGGAAAAATTTAAACACAAAAATAACCGATCAGAGAACGAGAACTGGGCGTTCTCGCCCTTTAAGTAATGCCCCAAGCCCCACTCTATTTGCATATAGTAGTAAGTTATTACTCCTATATGAATTCCATTATGTACTCTCAAAAGCGTGACAATTTTACGAGTAAATAAATTTGCTAGAATGCCTCCTGATAGGAAGTTCCACTTGGTTCACACCTACTTTCATGAATCTTCCGTTCCTTGCGGTAGATTTGCTTTCAAGAAATCTTCCATCGACTTCGAAGCCCTTAAATGTCATTGTCAGCTGTAATTTGTTTCACTGGCAAACATTTCAAAAGCACAGAAATTCTCATTACCAGATCACAACACTGTCAACACAAGGATTCACATTGCAAAACCCATGCATAATCAAACATTGTGCAATGTTTAACAATCTCAAATTATGTCGTATCATGTTTGGCGTCGTACCATTGCAATGCTGGCTCATATTTCTTTCTTCCTCGACAAATAGCAAAATTTGAAAAACAACCAACTATATGATACTTGAAACAAACACGGTAGGACCTTCAGAAGTAGATAACAACTCAGAAACAGCAGGCCACTCAATCTTCACAATGACCCTGTTTGTACAAGCAGGACCATCTTATTCCATAACAAACCAGGGGAGATCACCCTTTCAGTTTTAATGAAAAAGGCAAGATGAAGTAGCGCATTGCACACGAAGTTGAGATCCGTAGGCAGGACATCTGGTTCACAAATCTTTTTCCTTGGCTAAACTCCGTGGGATTCTGCCAATAACACTTTCATCCACTATCTTATAGTGTTTCGAAAATTTTCGGTGGATCAAACCAGCATACCGATCAACATGCTCTTCATATCTGTTGTACAGGGCGGGAAGAGTGACAGATAAAAGGACTCCTGTCACAGTTCAAATGGCAAAAATGTAAGAACATAAATGATTAAAACTTCACAGGACTTCTAAACAATGAATTCCAAGCGTAAATACCTAGTTGAAAGCACCTCAATACAAAGATCAACAGATCCATAATCATTAACAACCCACAAAAGGAAATGGCTCAATCAGATCCACATTAACAGGTGGTACAGCAGGTTAACTTGTTAACTTTATGAATAATTGATTCCAATAACATATTAAAAAACCCAAAATACAGCAAAATACTAAACAATAAGTGAAAAAATAAGTACCAATTCTCATTCATTTGAATCTACACCTTTTATTTCAGATCCACAAAATATGGCATCTAGAGCATAAAATCATATAATGTCTGCAGAAAATACCATTTCTCTTGATCTAAATACCATTTCTCGTGGCATGTTCAATGGAATTGAATCAATCCATCTTGTTAAACAAGGTCAAAATGAAAACGTTGTCTTCGTGAGAACATTTTACAAACTCACATAGGTTATATTACATTTTAATTTAAAACTCCAATTTAATATCCACTATTTGTTTGCTTTATATATTAATTCTGCAGGCCCTGAATCCACAAAACATCTTGAAAGTAAGAGCATACTTCTTTATGCCCTAGGGATTAAAATTCCAAAGAAAATCAAATTCATTTACGATGTTGTTAATTGAACTAAAAACATACAAACACACTGCTCAAGTACAAAAATGCAAAACAAGATGATATTAAAAAAAGTACGAGGGCAGAGGTCTAACATAAGGTCACTAAGACCCTTCATTAGACAAAAATCACGTTTTTGGATGAGAAACACTGCAAGTGGCATAAGAAATATACAAGCCTAAAAATATACATAAAAAACAAACGAATATAAAAATAGAAGAACCATATAAGAAATATAAGCATAAATTAATGAAACATTTGGCATTATTTGCACTGAGTTATTTTGTTTGGACCCACATTCTCAAGTTGTCGGCGACTATATTTGATCACTACAACAAGCAAGAGCCGCAATCTCTCTCATGTTCGTATATATGTGCATATCCTATAATATTTGATATTTCTTTTGCTATTTTCATGTTAAAGTATTTTTTATGTTATCGCCTTCACTTTATGTTTACTTTGTTAATTTGAAATTTCACTAATTTCAGTATTTGCATTCACGGATTAATTGTAGATATAATATTCAACAGCCTGAATTCACCAATGCACAGAATCATAGAAACTTGAGATAGACAACGATTTAATTATAGCCTAATTTTTATAGCAATAGACCTCAATGATCAGCCTACAAACCTCATCAATAGGAAAAAAACAACAAAGCTAGAATACGCCATATGTGGCTCTAATGAAACAACTGAGAGTCTGAATTACCCGAACATGATTCAGAAATGAAAAAAGGAAAGGAATAAAGGAAAGAAAATAAAATAAAATAAAACAAAAGTTTGGATAGTTTGTGTCAAAATACATCACCTACTGCAATGAGCTGACTGACAAGGATGAATTCACATACCAATATAGGCAAGCGTGCAGAAAGAAACTACAGTACCAATGACAGACAAGAGCCACAGACAGACCACCACCTGTCAATTTGACAAAGTTTAATCAGAAAATATCTTGATTACAGTGAACAATTAAGGTAGAGACATAGTTTTGGTTGAATGAATTCCAAGGATAATTTTCTACGTTGCTAACCACAAATAACCCATGAGGCATGCAGGATGAAGGTCAACAACATCATGGAATAATATCTATACTAATGTCCAAATCCAACCAAGTTGGTGAACAAAATGGTCATTGTGTATACTTTTTCTCCAATTTACATTAAATAATGTGTACAGCATTTATATTAAGGCCATGTATTAGCTATTACCTACTTTAATATGGCACTTACCAAACATCATTCGCCAAACTTGTGTATTATGAAACCAAAATTAACAGCATCCGGCAATTGACTAAACTCAACTCAACTCAATAAAGCTCCATTCCAACCACTCGAGGTGGTTATACAATCCACGCTCTTCCATTTTGTTCTACTAGGAGGATCATAATTATAAAATAGAAACTATTTTGGCTTTCCTTACTACCTAATCCTGACAATCCACCCCCCTGACCTCCCTTTGTTAGCTAGAAAATCACTTTAATCACATTGTTAACTAGAGATCCTCCCTCCCTCCCTCCCTCCCTCACACACACATTTCACTTGCAAACCATATTTTCGTTTTCTTTCTTTTCATAAACAATACTATCTTTTAAATGCCTTTTTACACGATAAAAGTATTATTTATCTTAAAAATAATGAATGTATGTATAATATGAAAGAATGAATTTTATCTTAAATGTGATTGAATTATGTTCATGACATATTGACTGTCACTAACCTTAAAAAATAGTCTGAAGTCTTTGCCACGGGTGATATCATGAGCCATAAGCAGAACATAATTAATTTTGACACGAAAAGATGCTGCAGCATTATTGACCATTTCTTCTGACAAGACTAGTTCAGGTAATGTTTGAAGTTGTCTGCACAAAAAGAATCAGTAATCATTTTTTTTTGATAAGTAAAAAAGAATCAGTAATCATAAATAACTCCAGCACTAAAACAATGAAACAAATATTATCAATGTTCACAGAGGGTTGAACAATCATACTCATTTCTAAAAGCAGCATAGTTGGCCCGGGAAAACAACAATACAATCAAAATCAGTAAGACGTCGGAACAAACTGATAAGAATGACAATCCTGACCGCTCAAATAGGATCCACGCAACTGTAGCAACAACAACGATGCCACATGAAACACGCCGCCGCTTCCACAATATAACATCAGCAGCTAAGAACAAAGTACACCATAAATAAGTTGAACATATCCATGACAAAGCAATCATAAACACGGAAAGAGGATGAATGCAGGGAGAATATTAGGAAAATAACACTAAGGTCGTTCAATTTTGTTTCTTTGCATTAGATAAATCCAAACAGAACGTTGATACTGCAATAACAAGATGCTGCCCCCTTTTACGTGTAGCAAAAAAGTTAGCAACAGCTAACAGAAAAGAAGGGTAGCGAAAGAGTCATGATATTCATGCCGACTAGTAAGACCTATTTGTCAAAATGAAACAATTAAGGCCGTTGATGGTCTGAAGTAAGGCCTAAAACTGGGTCCCACTTCAGGGCATCAATGGCCATAATTGTTTCACTTTGACAAATAGGCCTAACTAGTAGGCCTAAATATCAATGACTGTCAAATGAGGTATTAATTTTAATTAACTATGGCTCAATTCTCAAAAGCAAAATTAAATGCACATTGTACCTAAAATTTGAGGGAAAACCACTCAAAAAATAAAGTTCAATAAGATAGCAAGAACTGCCCACAACAGTCTAAACACAAGAACTCTCAATTTTTTTTGTCCTTGATTACAATTATAAAAATAACAATTTCCACACTGACATAAACGTAGCAAGTTTGACATTAAAGTTTCATACTTAGGGACTTAGATTGCTTAATTTAGATACTTCCTCAAAAGGGATACATCAAACCAGAGTACAAAAAATTCTTCACTGGGCAGTGGATAAAAGGTTTTTGTTTATTCTTTCATTTTAATTCATTAATGAATGGATATCAACTTCATCAGCACCCGACTTTTGCTCAATAAATGAATAAGTTCAATATATATGTACATATATAAACACACATATAGGAAGAAGAATAGACTATATTACCTTTACCACCACCCATCATCTGGTGAATCGTAGTTCGTCGACCGAATAATCGGTACGACGAGCTACAAGATGTCGACGAAGTACAACACGTACTGTTCCTTCCATCTCCATCACCCTCAAGATTGCAGACATCGTTTGCATTTTCCATGAAATTCACTGTCAACACATGACACTACAAAAATGATAACAAAAGAGTCCTACAACTATACAAGCAAAATTGAAACAAAAATTGAACATTCAAACAACTTCACTCAAAAAATTTGTATAAAAGACATCATATGCATTTTCCATAAAATTCACTGTTAACACATAACACCACCAAAATTGAAACAAAAATAAATGTAAATATATTGTTAATTTACTGAATAATCGAAAATTCAATCAGAAACTGTAGGACAATCGTGTAGAACAGATTTGTAACCCTAGATGTGAATCACAAACCTCGGTCAAGCAAACGTGACGGTTCGAGCCGCTGAGTTGAACAATATTTTCAGGGATTGGAAGTTGTAATCTCAATTGGAAAGTGATCAAATAGGTTGGTGATGGATCGATGATCGTTGAAGGCTTTTTTTTATTGAGTCAATGAACAAACTCTTTCAACACATATCGATGAACAAAAACATTCGTCTCGATAGAGAAAGTTTACCGGCACCAAACGACGTCGTTCGTCGGTCCAAAGCCACCGAATTGGTACTATATGGTTTGTTTATCCACGTTCTTGAAAGCGCGTGGCGAACCGCTCATTACATTTGCCATTCATAATTATTTAACTTTAATAGTAGTAGTAATTTTGTATTAGAAAAATTATCTTTAATAGTACATGTATTAAAAGACAAATAATTCGCAAACTCAAGTCAATACTAAAGTCTCAATGCATTAAACATTAAAACCATATATATATTTATATATGTATGTCTAGTAAAATAATGGGCTAAAATCGTAAAAATCCCATCTTGTTTACAAAAACGACATACAACCTTCTTAATTATTAAATTTTTTTCTAAACTAACAAAAACTATCACGATGCTCCATTTATGTGACAGAAGAAATAACACGAATTAAGCATTCTTGAGTATTAAATTGATGTTGTGAATTCATGATATGTAGTGATACAAGGAACACATAGAATCCACCACCGAGGACTAAGTTCAATCTTCCTTTTAAACGGAAGGTTAAGTGATCGAGTCCTCAAGGAAACAAATGTGTTTGTGTGTAATTTACTGAGCTAGAAAGACCCCAGAGCAACTAGCCTCTTCATAGTTTTCTGCCTTGTTACGGCACTGGTGTTTTGTGTGACACATTTTAGAATGGTGGCTATGGTTGCAGGCTTGTATTTACTTAGGCATCCAAAGTTCAGAAGCAAGATGCCTTCAGTTCCAAGCAATTTCTTCACGAGATAGAATCATTAAATTATTGTGAAATGACAATAATGCCCTTGATATTACATTAATATTTTATTAGACTGAAATTGTTGATTTTAAATGATAATTATGCCCTCAATATCTCTACACACACACGTGTCAGCCGCTGTAGACACTAAAATTTTAGTGAGTTTTGGTTTTGACAAATGGACCCATTAAATATGGGCCTAATGTTTAATTAAGTTATTATATTGGCCCAAGCTTGGTCCACTTAAATTATTTAATTAGCCCAGTCCAGATGGTTAAATAAACAGATAGTTATTCCTAATAAAATATATTTGAAATGATTATTTTTAAGGATAATTATCATAATATAACCGGCTCCGCCCAGTCATAATTTTATCCTTATCAGGGAATGACACGTATCATTATCCTATCAACCCAAGAAGCCTATAAATAGAGGCCTGGAGGAAGAAGAAGGGGACACAAATTGAGAGTCCAGAAATTCAAAGACTCAAAAATCCAGAAGGTCCAGAAATTAAGGGAATCAGAAATCCAGAGGGCCAGAAATCCAGAGGGTAAACCTGAAGGCGAAGAACACCAAGCACATCCAAAGTCATGTCGTTCTTCACCAAATTAGAGAGCGAAAATAGTCGAAGAAGCTAAGAAACCACATTAAACGTATCCGACTCACTTTTCGGTCGCAATGCCATTCATATGCCTGATCCTGACAATGAACATTGTTCTTCTCATTGGACACGCATTCAAATGCCTGATCCCGACAATGAACATTGTTCTTCTCATTGGACACGTAAGGCTACAGGTGACCTCACCAACTTTGGTATTGATCAGATTAATGAAGAATCCATTGTTTCGGAAGCCTTGATATTAAATTCTCCACTTCATGAGAGAATAGTTGAGGAAAACCAGTTTTCACTCTTAGGTCTCAATGTTCAGGCGAAAGAAGTATCATGGAGTATTCCCTGTATACTTTATGTTGCTTTGCCACACGCAGAACTATATTGGGAGTGGTTAGAAGATGTCTTGGCGCATTTCCACGACTTTCTATCAAAACAACAACTATATGGTGCTCTGTTCGCCTCTCTATTTTCATATGATCGACATGAAAATGTATTCAAAGCATTCCTTGAATGTTGGTGCTCAGCCACTAATATTCTTCATGATTCTATTGGTAAGCTGTCTTCATATGATCACCATGGAGATGTATTCAAAGCATTCCTCGAATGTTGGTGCCCAGCCACTAATATTCGTTATGGTTCTATAGGCGAGCTGTCTTCATATGATCACCATGGAGATGTATTTAAAGCATTCCTCGAATGTTGGTGCCCAACCACTAATATTCTTCAAGGTTCTATCGGTGAGTGAAATTTTTTTTCTTCGACACCTCAACAGAAAGCCAAATTTCTCTTTCAGCAACACCTCGGCAGCGAGCAGAATTATTTTCTTCAACGACATCTCAACGGAAAGCCAAATTTCTCTTTCAGCAATACATCGACAGCGAGCAAATATTTTTTTAGCAATACCTCGACGGAAAGCCAAAATTTTCTTTCAGCAACACCTCGGTGGCGAGCAAATTTTTTTTTTTTCTTTCAACGACACTTCAGTGGTGAGTCAAAATTTTGTTGTAACAACACCTTGGTGATGAATTGGATTCTTCAGCGATGCCTTGGCGGCAAGCAAAATTTTTCTTTCAGCAATACCTCGGTAGTGAGCAGAATTTTTCTAGGCAGCTACAGTTTGGCGACAAACCAATTTATTTCTTCGCAGCTACACTTTGCCGGATCAAAATTTCTTTTGTAGCTATAACTATGATGACAGACCAAAATTCTTTTTTGCAGCTACACTTTGGCGGCCGGTCAAATTTCTTCCTTGTAGTTACAATTTAACAACAGACCAAAATTTTCTTTGCAGCTATACTTTGGTGGCGTGCCAAGTTGACAGGGTGCGACGAATCACTTTTGATATCACGCGATGAGCACACTTTGCCCCCTTTTTTTTTATGTTGACTGAACTTGGAACAAACTTCCAAGATGCTTACATACCCTAAATAGGGATCAAGTCATCATGTAGTTCACAAATTTTTTTTTTTTTTTTTTTTTTTTTTTTTTTTTTTTTTTTTTTTTTTCAGGTAGACAAATTAAACTCTTGTCAAGGAATATCATTGAAATTTTGTTTTTTGGCAAACAGTTTATACTCGTGTCAATGAGTTCTTGATATTTTTTTCAGGTACACAGTTTAAACTCGTGTTAAGGAATGTCATTTTTTTTTTTAAGAGACAGTTTAAACTCGTATCAAGGAGTGTTTTTTTTTTTTTTTGGAGACAGTTTAAACTCATATCAAGGAATTCTTGATTTTTTTATTTATTTATTTTTTTTCCTTTTCAGACAAATAGTTTATATTCATATTAAGGAGTGTCATCGACAGTTTCTGCTCGTATCGGGGAGCATTTTAACTTTAATAATTTTCTTCAACTTTGCAAGAATCAGATGACAATCCAAGCTTATACTGGAGGGCACGAACTATCTCGTCATCACTTTAAGGATTTTTTTCTTGGTTTCCTTAACTTAATGCCCCCTGTGATTTTGCACTTTCGATTGAAGTCATTGTTGTAGTATGGTACGTTTCTTGATGCAAGTCTTTCGAGATGATGCTTATAATGAAAAATGAAGCTATTTCGTCATCAGAGTTAGGAAGTATATGGTCTTCTTCTTCGGACTCACTTATCTCATCTTCTTAAAGGTTGTCGGGTATATCTACAACATCTTTCCTAGTACCACGATTTTCCATGCTAAGCTCCATGTCATGGGCTCGGGTAACAAGCTCTTCAAATGTGGAAGGCTTAATCCCTTGTAAGATGTAAAGAAGCTCCCAGTGCATACCTTGCATACATGCTTCAACTGTAAAAATTTCAGACAAACGATCCTTGCAGTCAAAACTTAGAGCTCGCCAATGGTTGATGTAGTTAACCATGGGTTCACCCTTCATTTGTTTTATGTTTGTAAGCTCCAGCATACTTACAGTACGACGAGTGCCGTAGAAACGGTTGAGAAATTCTCGTTCCATCTGCTCCCAACAGTTAATACCTCTAGCTTTGAGGTCTGTTGTAATACCCCTAATTTTAAAAGGATAGTCTCGGTATTTATTTATTTATTTTTATTGTATTTTTTTTAATTGTTTAATTGATTATTTGACTAATTGTTTATGTGTTTAATTAAATTAAGTGTTATTTGATTAATTGGTTACTTATCTATGTGTTATTTGTATTTTGTCTAGGTGTTATTTGTATTATTTGTTTAATTAGATTGGGTGCTTAAATGATATATTTGATTAATTGTAATTAATTGTAAATTAAATGATTAAATGTTTTATTTTATGGTTATGGTTAATGGTAATGGACTAACTAATTAGGTCCCATGGACTACTTGGATAGGAGGTTGGATGGGTATGGATAATTACCCATGGATAGTTGTATATGTATATATATAGATATATATGTATATACATATATATAAAAAGGAAAGTAATTTATTAATATTATAGTAACTTTAGTATTAATAAATAATCTGATGTATATATTTTATTTATTTAATGAAGATACAGATAGATTATATATGTAACATGTTTTAAGTTACTTTTTAATATTATGGTAAATTTAGTATAAATAAATAATCCGATGTATATATTTTATTTATTTAATGAGGATATAGATAGATTATATACGTAATATGTTTTAAGTTACCTTTTAATATTATGGTAACTTTAGTATTAATAAATAATCTAATGTATATATTTTATTTAATTAATAAGGATATACATAGATTATATACGTAACATATTTTAAGTTACCTTTTTAATATTTTCATTTTTTATTTTTCTTTATTAAGTTGACTTGGATTGGGAAAAAGGAATAGGGTTATTATTTAGCCTATAAATACACAACTATAGGTTGAAAAATGAGTGAAATTATATCACGTAATATCTTCTATAGAGAAAGAATTAGAGAGAGAAGGAGAAAGAGGAAGGAAGGAGGAGAAAACCCTGTAGAGAGAAGATTAAGGAAGAAGAAGTTTAACTTTCGATTCAAAAGTTTAAGGCAAGTTCTTATTCTATCTCTTTCCCTTTAATTCGTGTTTCTGTACATGCTTAGGAAATTTCAGGATTTATTAAACACATAAAATTAAATAATTATGCATGTTTAATTAGGTTAGAACATAAGTTTTATGAAATTGGCTCATATCTGTTCTTGTGTTATGAATTGA